GAAATGTGCTCCGTCTTTTGAGAATATAGTTCCGTATGTTTTTGTAATTTGAAGTGGTTTCCGCGCCTAAAAAAAATGCTTTAAAGGTATTTTCTTGTTTATTAAGACCGTAGGAATGTTTTAAAAACGTTTAAAAGAAAAGTCCAGAAAGTTCAGAAATACCAAAACTATAAACACGAAATGACAGGTTAAATCGTAGTTATAATAGTCAATCAGCTGTTCATAGTATTATTATCTTTAAGTGTTGCCAACCTATTTCCAAGCGTACACGGATTACGTGCATAATAAAACCACGCTGTTTTGTGTTGTTTGGTTGGAATCCTGATGTGCGGCAAAGTATAAACCGTGCGGCAAAGTATAAACCGTGCGGCAAAGTATAAATATGCAGCAATTAGCAGCTTTCTGTACTATAAACAGTACAGGGAAGCCAACTTTGTCGGGTGACTGTAGGAAAAAGATTTTTTAGTTTAATCATTGGACATATGGACCAACACGATCCGGGTGACATTTAATTGCGAAGCATTTATTTTGGCTTGAACTGTCAGATACTGTATTTGCGAAGGTTTATAATATAATAGTTTTGCCAGCATATCTGCAAATATGCAAACTAATTGCTGTTCTTAATCTTAATATAAGAAGGTTTCAACTGACTACTATAAGATCCCCGTGCGTAGAACGGGCACACAGCTAGTTGTTTATAAATAACTTCTTGATCATCGTTTCTTTTATTTACTTTTCGCTATTGCTTATAAGCTAAATGTTGGATCCGCCACTTTATATTTACTAAAATATCGCTAATATGTTTTAAATTTTAAACCCTTGTTCATTGAAAAATAGTTTTTTAAAGTCTATTGGAAATCCTACTAATATTATAAATGAGAAAGTTTGGATGTATGGATGTATGGATGGATGTATGGATGTATGGATGTATGTTTGTGACAAGTGAACGCGAAAAATACTGGTCGGATTGGGCTGAAATTTGGCATGATGATAGCTCACATTCCCGATTAACATATAGGCATATTCTTATTTCAAAAATCCTTTCGGGCTCCGCCCCAGTGGCTCTGGAGTTTCCCATGTTAACCTTATGAGAAATGAAATTATTGAATCTTAACAGCTGTTTCAATTAAACAAGTTGGTTCTGTTCTGTGATGTTCAATAGCGTTAAAGTTACAAAAATTACCAACAGGGTGCAGCACTATTATTTCTTTTACATTTATGACAACAGCTAATTTGCAACCAAAAGGTGAGTGAGCGTAGCGAACAAACTTCAACCTGGAGGCGAGTTAGCGTAGCGAACGAGCTAACCTGAAGGCAAGTGAGCGCAGCGAACGAGCTCCAACCTAAAGGTGAGTGAGCGTAGCGAATGAGCTCCAACCTAAAGGTGAGTGAGCGTAGCGAACAAACTTCAACCAGGACGTGATTGAGCCATGCGAACGAGATAATCTTGAAAATTAAGAAGTTAAACGGGGCAAAGCCCGCGGGTTACAGCTAGTGTGTTTATAAATGTATTGTTAGAAGCAGTAGTCATATATAGTCTACTCTTGGTAACGCAAACACTCAATAAATCAAGGCTTTTGATGATTCGAAATCAAAGCTCAGTCCATAGACATCCCCTGAGAATTCAAAGTTATACTGTACATTTTGATACACCCTGTGTTTCAAAGTTCAAGCAGATGGCAGGCTGATTTGGAACACGCGGTAATTTGAACTTTTGGTGTTTTGAGCCGAAGTCAATATAATTCAAAGGGACGGAGGTGAATCTGGATTTATTCCTCTCAAAACAGGAAACTACACCCTGAGGCACAGTAGCTTTGTTTTTAAGTTAGAGCAGTAATTGTCTGCTAAAAAACTAAGTTCTTCTTGCACAGCAAAGTAAGTTCTTTAGTTCGCTGTGTTTGTTGAGTGGAACTGTAGCTGAAGCTGTACTGTCATGGCAACTTAACATAAATAATACAAGTCGATTGCAGAAAATAAGTGATTTCAGCAGGAGAAGTGGTAGAATGAAGTCAGAAGTAGCGAAAGCATTTGAAAATTCCTTTAACCCCGAAAAAAAAATATCATCTCAAAAGTACTAAGGAACGATATATTGGGCCTCGATGGGATTAGGAATCAAAAGAAATCATTGCTGTTTCGAAATAACAACCGAGTCAACAGATCATTTAAACTCAAACGATTGAAAGTCGCGCCAGCACGTTATATTGTCGCTTAGCACTTTTCGGATGGCATGGAATGCAAACAACAATATATCGTTCCAAACCACTTTTCAGGGAAAAGACGCACAACGATATATCGTCCCATAGCGCTGAAAGGGTTAAACAGAAAAAATGTGTTTTCTAACAGACTTTTTATCTTAAATAATGTTATTGATGTCGTAAGAATCACGAGCAAGAAGGAAACAAAAAAACAGGTTTTTTTACTTAAATAAGCTGTTTCTGTGCCCTAAATGTTACAAAAATTAATCTTCTTAACTTGATTCTTTTTCTACCGATAAATTGAACCTCTTGATAGTTCAAACTTAGTGCGGTCCACCAATTTTGAATTAACAAGAATCTGCTATTGAACCAACACTATGGATACTTACTGAAGACATCCCATCTATTTTAATAGAAGCATTTAAGGTTTACCTTTTTAATATGGTATGATGGAAAGTTTTTCTTAAAAAATAAACAACTCTTTAATTACATCAGCTTGCTCGTTCAAAGGCTTGATGAACTAAGTTCAATTAAATTCTAGAACTAGCTACAACCATTGACTATTGGATACAACCTTAAATTAACTAAAATGTAAAAAGTTTTAGCTTAATGAGTTGATGTGAAATGTGGAGCTATACAATTATGATCTTTGACATTTGATAGAACAAGACATTTCCATGTTAGAGTTGCAGTCATTTTGAGATAAAAATGGAGGAAGAGTGTTAATGTAGACTACTTCTACTTTTACTTTCTGTAAAAACTTCCTGTAAACTATAGCATTTTTGATGTCACAGTAAATTATCAAAGTAACTAAAATAAGACAAAAAATATACCATAATGTATGTGAGAAGCTTATTCAAACATGTTCTAATTATCTGAACAGGAAATTGGGTACACCAAATTTAGGATAAATATTTAATAGAAGGTTTCCTACCAGTACAGATAAATTTAGGAAAATGATGTAAACCAAATTATTTTTAAAATATAGACTATATTTTTACAATATTTACAAATTTTAGTAAGAAAAATACAGAAATACCAAATTAGCCTATTAAAAATGAGTAAGAAATATGAGGGGCATTTTTAAGTAAGGGCCGTTTGGGCATATAGCTCCGTAGTTTCCATATACGCCGCAACGAGCCACCTCGCTGCTTACTGTCTGGCAATGATAGAGGGGTAATGAGATAATGAGCTAGGCAGTTTAAAATTGGCCTTAAAAATGTTTATTTCGGAAGGAACTGGGGCGCATCAATGTATTTATTATACATCAATGCTGGGGCGGGTACCCCCCCCCCCCCCATTTCCTTACTTAACCCTCATTCATTGCGTTAGTGGATAACCTTTAGTCATCTGGCGATAAATGTCGGCATCGGATATGTCAGATATATCACTGACCTTATCTTGCACAAAGCGAGAGATTCTATAATTTAATAATGTTTACAAACACACAGCGAAGCGTACAAAGCTGGAAATGGTGTCATTCTGTTCACAAATTATGCCAGTAAATGGTGAGGAGCCTAGTTGCGGCGTACACACGACCCACGGAGCCGTGCGCAAAAATGGCCCTTATAAAAAAGCCACCCGTCGTATCAACAGTCTTGTACAATCACAAAGGCCTATGGGGCAATCAAAATAAAAAAAATGGACAAGTAAAGTTTATTACAGTACTAAGTTAAATAAATATGTCATGCTTTACACTAAAGTACGGTACCAAAATTGTACATGCTTTTTTCATCAAAATTGTTGGCCTAACTAAATAGCTCAAATTTTAGGTTTATGATCTGTGAACATAAAAACAATGCTGGTAGGTAATAACATACTAACACAAGTAGACTTCACATTTCATTGTAAGTTTTGAAGCTCATTTTATGTGTCTAGTTCATGTTAGTGACACTGATCGCTAGTGTCGACAACGTTTTGTTTTTACAGTATTAGGTATTTTAGGGTTGATTTCATGGTTTGTGCTTTACTGTTCTTGTTTAATATGGTGGGTCTAACTAGAACGAATTAGTTATCGTTTTGATTAGATTGGTTTTTTTTACCAAAGGAAGTTAAATGACTGAAATAACAAGGAACAAATTGTAAACAATTTATAGGGGTCGTGTACCCCTACAGTGCACCAGACAGAACTAAGAAAAAAACTGTCTTCAGCTAATCCAAAAGGATGACAAATCTACTAACTTAAGAGAGTAAGTAGGCTATATTTGATCTATTGTAATAACTATTAAGCATATACAATACCAAAAATTAACTTTCTCTTTATAAGTATAACTATGGTTTCTTAATAATGCTAGATCAGTCTTATAATATTGCTGCAAATGCTCATAAAATGTATAGCCTAAAGTAATCTAAGAAGGCTGTATAATATCAAATTTATTCCTTATTTAAATAAAATTAAAAGAGTAAGTTTGGTAAGAGATTAATGTTATTTTCCAAATTTGATCAAAATTTGTTCATAAACAAGCAAACTACAACAGTTAACTTATTCTACATAAGAATAACATGGGAATCTTGGAATTTTCTCCGTAACCATTAGGCGCTTAATAACGCTTCAATATACTAAATTATTTGTTTTTTTAAGCTCTATAAAATGGTTTGGAACGAAATTGTGAAATTTTTTGTTTTCAGGCTCAAAAATGGGGAAAAACTATATTTTTACCGTAAATAAAACCGGATTCCCATAGTCCGATCTGAATAAAATATAAAAAATTTCAAATTTACTCAGTAATATTTAAGTTAAAATACTAAGTTCAGTAAATAGGCTCTTATAGAGTTTATATTTAAGTTTTAAACTTTAATTGCCAGTTTTGTAAAAACATCTAAGTTAGAAAAACGTCAACACATAAGTTAAGTCTTAACTTAGTACGGTAATTTCAAATTCAAACAGTGTCCTGCTAGTGTTAATTTTGACAGGAGTGTAACATCTTTGTAGTTTATCGAGGTTGTACAAATAATTTCAATAAACGTACTATGAATGAAAAATATCAGGTTAGGTAACTTATCTTAACTTACCAAGATGTCTGTTGGTTAATGAACTTGGTCACTTAAGAGTCTTCCTTAGTGGTAGCCATGTTGGATTTCTTCCCCATAAGAACAATGTTAAATATACATCATTTGTGGACACGTAACGGCGTTATTTGTTAAGATATAGCTTTGAAATTTATAATTTGTATTTTTAACATAATAGACTCGTGACTGAGGTTTTTGAATTTCGAAAATCCATTTTCATTTCCTTTCAATAATTAGCTTAATTTTAAGCTAATTAATAATCAATTATTCATTATAAAAATTAAAAATTGTGAAATAAAAAACGTCAATCTCTAGAGGACCGCAATTCCTTAAATTTAACTCCTTATCCATAATTATATGACAATTTGCTGATGAGATATTTGGACCCAAAGTTAACATTGTTCTTATGGGGAAGAAATCCAACATGGCTTCCACTAAGGAAGACTCTTAAGTTAATACCTACTTTGCCAAAATGTAGTATAATTTAGGCCCACTGTTAACCTTAACTTTCTTCATATGTTTTCAATACTTAATAATGTCTCAAACAACGTCATTTTAACCTAAGGAGTAACAGAAATATTTTTTTGTTGAATTTTATAGAACAATTGATAAATTAGAACTGTTACAACGCTGCCAATTAATTGTTTGTGATACATTTGTTTCAACTGGAAACCTTTCTTTACATACATGTTTCTTGCATTGTCGTGCCATTCCGTTGTGACCAACTCAACACCTTGATATCCCTTTTCACTACAAAAGTGCAACGCTTCACTGAGAAGTGCTTTGGCAATACCCATACGTTGATATTTAGGTTTCACTGCCATTCTTCGTAACCAGGCATTATCTTCCGAAGCAACACTTCTTACAATACCTACTGTCCCAACAAGAGATCTACGGTAAGAATTCTTCTCAAATTCTCTTTGTTTGAATTCTTTCTCTGATAGAATATGATATTTAAATTGAGATGGTTCCTTGCTCATAAAAAATGGCTCATATGCCTCTGCAACCCAGAACCCAGTTGTATCAGAAGACATGTAGACCCTCGGGATGTTGATCAAATCTTGTGTCAACTCCAACGCCTTAAATGTGTGGCCTGCCCAGACGCAAAAGTACATAAAGATTATTACTGCGGGAATGGAACAAAGGCACAGTGTAAATGGCAGTCCAAAAAATATAAACATTACTGCTGTAGATAAAACCATCAATTGGAAGGTAACCTCAATTAAGGAGAAAAATGCATTGTTAACTGTTGACATAGCTCCTTCTTTCACAATTTCACGACACTGGAATTCATCTCCTGGCTTGTAATATCGTATCACGATCAAGTGTGTAAAATTACTACTCATTTTTCCGGGTAAATGCAAAATTAACCAACAGAAACTGAACAAAATCGTGTTTTTCTACAAAGGTTAGAATAGAGTTTACGTTTACTTAAGACGACGCAACTTAACTTGACAATCTTGACAGTCACCAATGAGTCAATTGAGTTTCTTCTTCTTTGTCAAACTTTGTCGCTGTGGGAAGGTGACTCGGCCAAGCAACCATGAAGCTATACAGTTTGGTTGTATTCACAATAATGAATATTTTCAGTTCCGCACTTATATAAGTTTTAAAGTAAGATTTTAAATTATTATTATTGTTTAAATATAGGTATTCAATCCAAGAACTAAAGGATATTATTGGGTTCATAAAGTTTAGCCACCGGTAAACGGAAATTATTGAAAAACATCGCTATTTCGTGGTCGCCATTGCATCAAAACAATCATCAAGTAGAAGTGACGAGTTTGACCTGATTTCCTTTAATTCTAGGGAAGACTTTTGTTTTTAACATAATTTCTTGATATTTAATGTGGGATGGGGACGCTCCCTAGGTGCGTATTTTAACCCAAATATCAGTGAGGGATGAGCAGGGCCACCAATAGACATTTTGTGGCCTAGGGGCAGAGGTTGGGTGTAAGCCCCCCTCCCCTTATACTAAAATCTGAAATTAATTTTCAGAGGGCAGAAAGTGTGTAGATCCATATGTTCAAAGAACTTTATTGTCATTATCAAAATTTGTCAAGGGGAAACCCAATTAATTGGGTGAAAACCAATCGCCTATTAATTGGGTCTGATGATGTTTTCAGTGTCCAATCGAAATCGATCACCATTGTACGTCTTGTGAGTAACAGTAATATTTAATAGGATTGCTTTCATAGCAATGAAAGCCAGGTGGAGCAATCATGTTACATGGTTTCATTGACTATATATACCTACAGGTATATATAGGTACCTGTAGGTATATATAGTCAATGATGGTTTCCAATAAAACAATAAAAACGATATGTTCATAGATTTTGTACTACCAAAATAAAAATGTTCCCACCCTCCTCACTGCTAGCCTTTACTATTTCTTCGCCACTTCCTACGTCTTGGACCTGTTCCCTCCCCTCCTAGACCATTTTAGTGTTGTAGATATTTAATGTAACTGCCACAAACGGTTCACAAACTCCACACTGCCAGTCTTTTACTACTTCCTTCACCACTTCCAACGTTGTGGACTTGTTTCCCTCCCTTCCCATCGCATTATTTAGGATTGCAGATACATCAATGATACTGTATAACTGCCACATAGGGTTCCCACACTCCGGACTGTTTCTTTACTACTTCCTTCACCACTTCCTAAGTTTTGGGCCTGTCCCCCCCCCCCCTTCCTATAACATTTTAGTATTGCAGATACGTTAATGTAACTGCCATACAGCGTTCCCACACTCCGCACTGCTAGCCTATACTTCATTTTAAAGTAATCATTTACCCCAATCAGAGTAGTTTGTCATCTGCATAGCAAACAGCCCTCTCTCCCAAATGCAAAGAAAGGTCATTTATCATTATGTTGAAAAGCAAAGCCCAAGGGCAGACCCCTGTGGGTCGCCATGAGTTAAAAATTTGACAACAGAGAGAGCGGCTGACCATTTACAGAGAGAGACAAACTGTGTGCGAGGAAAATGCAACACTTATTCTACCTAACCCTCAAAATAGACAGGTAATCGTTACCGCCAAGCAGTTGCGAATAATATTCGTTATAAATACTTTTTATGGATGAAATTGAAATCTCAAGATTGGTGAACAAAAGAATGAGCTCATGGTTTTTGGCATCTACACAAAAAATACTTAATTTTGACACATTGCTAATAATAAAAATCCGTCCATTATTAACGGAGGAGTAGTGTTTCATAGAAAATCGCCTTCACGTATTATAATATAGGGATGTTAAAATCATGCCTTGATCACCTAAACACAGTCCAAAGGGAAAACATTTGGATGATGTCAACTGATCAAATGCCACAGAGAAAGTTTTAGGTTAACATTTTAGTCCCAATTTGGAAACGAACATTGATCGAATAGGTACCTATACAGTCATAGATAAAACATACTTTATTTAACAGATTTCATTTACTTAGCTAAATAAGGTTATAACAAATAACATTTTTTCTTAAACCATTCGTTGATGAATCACATTCATGGATCAATCTCATAAATTGCAATCTTAGGTCCAGACGTAGGTGAAGGAAGTAGTAAATTCAAGAAGTGCGGAGTGTCGGAAATGTTCGTGGCGTGTGGCAGTTAGATATTGTATATAAAATACTAAAATGCTATGATAAGAGGGGAAACGGGTTCAAGACGTACGAAGTGGTAAAGGAAGTAGTAAAAGCGAACAGTCCGGATTGCGGGAACCGTCTATGACAGTTATATTTATGTATCTGCAATCCTAAAATGCGATGATAAGGGAGGGAAACAGGTCCAAGACGTAGGAAGTGGTGAAGGACGCAGTAAAGGCTTGCAGTGCTGAGTGTGTGGGAATGCTTTAGGGCAGTTAGATTAATCCTCTATTAACTGCAGGTCACTTAGTTCCCATGTAGCACAGATGGTTGGGCCAACGTTGGTAAATTGTGGAGCCACACAGTTGGCCAACGGTAGAAATGTCACCTCTTTAAACTGTTTTCCATCCAACCATTGACCAACCGTTTTATTTCACTCAAAATAATAAAGATTTAGTACGAAAAGCATAATTATTAGTTGAGTAAATTGATTAAATAGTTCATAAAAACAAATTTTGAAAAAAAGCTAGAACAAAATTTTTCGGCCCAGACGGGTCTCGAACCCGGGTCCTTCGACTTATGAGCCTCTTACTTTACCACTGAGCTATCTGTGATTCTTGATATAGAGAGTTTTCAAGTGGTGAAAGAGTAGCCGACAGTTGCAATGGTCGCAATACTTCAAACATTTTTGATACTACACAGTATAATATGATTCTGTTAATCTGTTAAGGCATCATAAGTAGTTTTTTTTTTTTTTAGTTAGAGAGGATACTGGTATTTGAATAGGTATATATTAATTAATTACTGTTAGATTATTAATGCTATTATAATTGCCTGTTATATGATTAATTACTCTTTCCCCTTAAATTGTTGCAAATAAGTTAAAGAATATTATTTTTAAAAATATTTGCATTATTATAATTATTAAAATTCATTGTTGTAGCCCCGGAACTGTATAAAATATCTGGTTTTACAATACCTTTATCAGTTCCAAAAACTTTTGGAAACTTTTGGAACTGATAAAGGTATTGTAAAACCAGATATTTTATTATAATTATGTTGTGAAAGCTAGACCCAGAGAATGAAAGTCGTGTAAACTCAACTATGGACCATCGTTGATCCAACAAAAGTATCTTTTGTTGGTCCAACGGAGTGAAAAACGGTTGGACAACGGTTGGCTTGATGTATGATACCCAGCAATGCATATTAATGTATTTCATTAACAATGAACCAATGTTGGTCCACAGTTGTAAATATTGGTTGGCCCAACTACGAGATATACAGTTGGACAACGGTTGGTTGGTTGTGGAAGCTCCAACCAACCATCGACCAACTGTCCCACAGTTGGCCAACGTTGGCCCAACCATCTGTGCTACATGGGTTGCCATTAGCTGTATATATATGGGCTATTAATTAACAGCTGTATCTAAGGAATATCTCGGCCTAGTCACTAACAAGACTACAAGATCGCGCCACTCATCCTACTCCATTCATACTTGGCTTAAAAATACCTACTTTGTATGGTCGCCATTTCATCGAAAAGTATTTAAAAAGTATGTATCTAAAGTATTAAAATGCTATATATGGGAAGGGAAGGAAACAGGTTCACGACGTATAGGAAGTGGTAATGTCCTGCAGGGCACTATGTCTTTATGTCTTTATGTCCAAAGGACCTCGGCGTGGTTCCGAGCTAACTTTCATCTTTTCCTGAATGAGAGTAAGACTCACCATAATATAGTCTCAGACAGCTTAAGCAAGATGTCACAAGCGTTAAACACTACTTGGTTTAATGTTAGATCCTAAGCTGGATTGGAATAGTCACATATCTTTTGTAGTACCTAGACTTTCCAGGGCGATTCACTTGCTCAGGAACTTGAAGAACTCGTACCCACGGAATGCCCAAGTAGCAAAAATCGTTGGCCCAACGTTTCTGTCGATCGTTGGCCAACGGTATGTTTTGGCACTCATCAATCTTACGGTTGGCCAACCAACCAATTTTTGCGGAAGGGCCAACCATCCCATTGGGCCTAAACATAAAAAACACAAAATAATAAAGATTTTGTATGAAAAGCATAATTATGAGTTGAGTAAATTGATTAAATAGTTCATAAAATCTTATTTTGAAAAAAATACGAGATAAAATTATTTGGCCGGGACGGGTCTTGAACCCGGGACCTACGACTTGAGAGCCTCGCGTCATTTTTATTAAAATAAAAATTAAAAATACAGAAATATTGGCGAAGTTGTTATTTCAAATTAGTATCAATTCCAATATTAACAGTTCTTCTTCAAGATCAGTTTAACATGGTTTAAGTCATATAAAATACAGGCTTATGCTTGTGATTAATACATTTATAGTTCAATATTAGAGTTTACAACCATTACAGAAAATATTTAATTAAAAATTCACAATTTCGTTCTGGGATGTACAGTAACGGGGTTTTAGACTGCCATTTGACAATCGTCAAAAGAAAAAAGCAAGCGTTGATGCGTTTGTCCAAGGCCCCACTAGAAAAACATTTTTCTAGTGGGGCCTTGGTTCGTCGCACAGAATATAGATATATAGAGATAGGCTATCTATATTCTATGGTTCGTAGGCTTCACCATGGCCGTGCTCTATCTCAATAAAACGAAACAGCTGATTGACGTTTTGGATGTCAAAGCAAAACAACCAAAACCAGCTGTTTATAGAGTTTTGTTTCATGTTTGTATTGTCGTCTTGTGTCTACGTGCGAAATTGCGAAGTTTCAAGAATTCTGTTACTGTCACTGTTTGTTTGGTAGAGAGGAATTCTAATTATTCACATATCCCATGCTGTTCGCTGTTCGGTGATTTTTGCGTGGAAATAACTCGTTTTAATAACTGTGATTAGAAGCTTTTCGTTGCTTTTATTCTAGAGGATAACGTTTAAAAGTTAGAGTTGGTATATTTTGTTCTGCGTTTAGCTAAGATTCGAACGGTAGGCTAGTGTTAAAAGTTTATTTATATTCAGATTCAGGCCCACCGGTAGTTGATTTGCTGAACTGTGTTTGTGTTCACCGCCGGACTTAACGGTAGGTATAATATGGAAATCATTGTAGATTTAATTTTATCTCAATCATAGGCTAGGTTTCAAAATAGGTAACTTACCTACCAACAGTTGTTTAGGTTAATATTTATAGGGCTAACTTAAAGCCAAGCACTCACTGCTCATTTTGAAATGCACACAGATTAACTTACTTAAACAAAGAAGGAGTACGAGTTATTAAAGGAAGTTATTAAAGGAAAGATACACTCTTCGGTAATTCTGAGCAATTACTTGGTCAACCCCAATTTTTTTCATATTTTACTACGGTCATCAGGAGGTTCTCAGAAAGCAAGAAACATATAATTCAAGGCCCGCAAGGCCATCGTACAGGTTGCCGAGTGATAAGAAGGTTCAAAGTCCAAGCGATAACAGTGGCTTGCGGGAGACGCGCGGAAGGCCAGTTGTGACATTACCGTTATGGCTATGGCTAGTGGTTCCTCCGAAAATCCTTTTCTATGTGACGGGTGTGAAAACACGTTACTTACTTATGTTTTTTTTTTAGTCTCAAATACATCTCTAAGGCCAATTGTAACAGTACCGTTACGTTAGGTTAGGTTAATTAATAACCTAACTTCCTAACCTAACTTAACCTTGCGGGGCTTGAATTATATGTTTCTTGCTTTCTGAGAACCTCCTGATGACCGTAGTAAAATATGAAAAAAATTGGGGTTGACCAAGTAATTGAGCGCTCAGAATTACCCACTCTTCTTCTCTTGCACGAAGTGCAATTAATTTTTAGGCTTAAACGTTTAGGCTTAAAAAAGGTAAGTTAAATCCTTATTAGAGGTTTAGAATAGCAAATCGTTGATTTAGCAGCCTGGCTGCACTTTACTTTAGGTCTTAACTCATTCGAATGAAAAATATCGATCGATATATCGATTAATCGGTTGTTTCATTCTATATAAGTATCATTATACGATAACCTAACTAACCAAACAATATATTGAATGAAACAATCGAATAATTGATATTTTCATTCTAATGAGTGTTGACCTAAAGTAAAGTGCAGCCGCAGGTGTGTTGGCAAAGTTGTAATTATTATTGAACTGTTTGGGCACCATTATATACCATATTTACCATATTTATATGGTAAATATATATCATATTTACAATTATATTTGTAAATACTGAATGGCTGAATAAATCATTTATCATTTATTTATCATTTATCATTTTTTATCATTACTTATTAGCCTACAAACATTAACCTTGAAGTTTTTATGACTACACCTAAACTTACATCTCTAGAGAGAGAACTTATCTTTATTGCAATAGGCTATGCTGTTTTAAGTTAAATAGCCTATTCCCGTGTACTTTAGGCTACATTGATTTGTTTCTTTTTCAGAAAGGAACCGAACCAAAGTGTTTATCCCTATGAAGTGTTGTTGATTGATATTTGACTAATAAGGCTTAGGCTACACACAACTGAAGGCAATCATGTTCAGCTCCTTAAAACTTGGTGGAATTCAAACTGCTCAGTTTCTAAAATTAAACGAGCATGTACTGAATCGTTTATGCAATTCACTGTCATGCTACACTTTCAACAAACTTGAACTCAACAATACTGGCCAAGTTGAACAGTCAAGAAAGAAATTTTGCAGGTAAAAGTAGGCTGGATTCTGAGATTTAATTATAATTTACCAATGAATATAAGGTTAAGACAGACTGAATGATATTAGGAAGCTTACTTATAAGGCCTTGCCCAATGACAATGGTGTTGAAACTAACTTAGGGAGCCTAGCTAAGTTAACCACCATAAGGCATTTATGTTAGGCCTAATAATTTTACCTAATATTTTAATTGGTACCGGTAACATAGGCATATTTATTGGAGATGGTTACTACCATATAAAATACGGCTGCACTTTACTTTAGGTCCTACACTCATTCGAATGAAAATATCGATCGATATATCGTTTGGTTCTAGATAGGTAAATAAGGTTACGGTAACCTAACCTAACTAACCAAACGATATATCGAATAAAACAATCGTATAATCGATATTTTCATTCGAATGAATGTAGGACCTAAAGTAAAGTGCAGCCTAAAATACATTTTGTCTAAGTTACATTTTCAGAAACTAAGTTATTGTGACAAGTAAAAAATCTTAGTCCAGTGAGTTAGTTAACGTACACATTTAAAGACATAAGTTGGCATAGGTAGTATTCCACAGGGTTAAGCCCCCCTTACACGGACGAGCATGTTCGCGAGCATGTTGGCGAACATGCTCGCAAACATGCTCGGCGTTGTCAACAGACGGACGAACATGCTCGCGAACATGCTCGTCGCTCGGTAGCGGTTCCTAGGCCTATTCTTGCTTTTCTTGTGCTCTGTGACAGTCAAGCTGTGTGTATTTAGCATACTCCCGATTTTTTGCTGCAATTACAGCATTTAGTTTTTTTTTTTGCAACATACGCATTATTTATTAGACATATATCATGGTCGATTTATTTTTGGCCGATTTTGTAATCGGCCGATCTAAAAATCGACCGAGTGTCTATAGGCCTTAAGTTATCGGATTAAATTCATCCGCTATGGTTTGAAAATAATGTTGGTTAAAATTCCATCGTTGTGCAATAACATTTCTCGTAGTTTTGCTTATTCTAGCGTTTCTTAGAATTATTGTGACAAATTACTACAGAATTGATTATACGCATTTCTGTAATAATATACAAATTTTAATTGATGAACCCTCTATTTTGTAAACTCATTTAAATTCGTATTTATTGCGGTACAAACACAAATAAATATTTATTTAGCTTCTGTAAACATTGATTCTAAATCTATTACTGTAACTGGAATACATCAGAGTATCAACACCATGATGATGATTACAAGTGCAATGTGTCTATTGCGGCTACTTTGTAATGGCGGTAACGAAGTAATCGTTTGGAATTGGAACGGTTACTTGTAATGAGTCCACGAGTGTAACTGGAATCATAGTAGCGGCTACATCGATGGAATCATTTAGCCTATCTCTACCCAAGTTGCAGCGGCGAACATGCTCTCGAACATATGGTCGTCCCCACAGACGGGCGAGCATGTTCGCGAGCATGTTCGTGTTCGGGCTCGCCAAGTCCGACGAGCGGAGCGCCGAGCCCAACATGCTCGCCGTGACGGATCCCACACACGGGCGAGCATGTTTGTCACCAACACCGTCACGAACATGCTCGCCCGTGTATGGGGGGCTTTAGACGTAACCTCCATGGATCATATATAAAAGTTATAAAAATGCTAACTGGAGAGCAGCACTGTCCATTGGTGGAGTTTTGAGGAAGAAGGTGGCAGCCATATTAAGGTTTCTGTTGATTGTTTTCTGCTATGTGTTTTACTTGCTATTAATAGGCTTAAACAGGATTTCCTTTCTGACAAGGCCTAATGAATTAACTTATTTAAGTCTTCTGTTAAATTAACTATTTTGCAAACTTATTCAAGTGAACAAATTTCCCTTAATACTATATGACAATTTTAGATAAGGGAATTGTCTAAACTCTTGTTGTTCACGCTGGTGGCATTTTTTAGAGAAAAAAGAGTGTTAGTCAAACATTTTTGAAAAAGCTGTCCAAACCCATATGATTTATTATCTATTGCTGACATTTTGTTAGATATCATCAGTGATTCAAGATTAAATACTGATATATTTTGCAAAATCTCAGAGTAAAACATTAGGCCTACATCTATTTGAAATAGATTAACCTGAAAGCGTAGTCTACTCAATAAACCATTTGCCTGAGGCTCTCTTTTGTAGCCTTAAATAATGCATGACTCTTTCATAGAGACTGATCCATATCTAATCATTTTCTCTAAACATAGCTACTGGGCTTGGCATAGGACAGTTGATGTATGTTGAGCTTTCAAGGCTAGTTTGTCTATTCTATTTATGAAAAATATAAAACATAACATACCCTGAGTCTAGGAGAACTAGACTAACTTTGTTTTTATACAGTAGCCTATTTGATTTATATTCAAATTGACCAGCGATTCACTAGCATATTATCTTTGATTGAGGATAGGACTAGACATCCCCTTGAAGACCCATTTTAGAGTTCCATCAAGTTGAAGAATACAAATGAACATAGTAGACTTAACTTAATTAAATTTAATTAAGCCCACAACTTAGTACTGCCAAATACATTTTACTTCTTAATGATCATACGTTGTGAGATGTTATTTTACCACGGGATAAGTTATTCTTTGTGGATAAAAATAGAACTACCTGTAGTCCATAATGGGATGTATACTTCAGCATCCGAAGGTCAATTCTAATTGCTAATTCAACAAACCCATTCAAACTTGGCATACAACCAAGTTGTCATTCATTTTTGAGAATTATTTCTCAAAATTTAAAACTAAGAGGGGTCTAAGTGAGCATTAAAACTGCACAGGTAGGGTGCTAAAACATTAAAGCTTTTAAGGTTGTTCTACGTTTTAAACTGGCATACATTTTTATTGTATCTTTTACATTAATGTCACAATTTGCATTATAAAGAGAAAACCGGACTAAGTACAAATGTTCATGATTCTTGTTCAGAAATTTTGGATCAGTGACACCAGCAGCGATTGGTCATGCAGTCAGCAAAGATGACCGTCGGGACTTTATGGCAGTGTTTCCAGATATCGTGAGGGACTTGACGGAAACCCACCGACAGACAGAGATACCGGACGTCACCAAGTGGTATGCAAAGGTAAAAGAAATGACAACTTCAAATATTACGGTACTTTCTTATTAGCAAGTATTTTTTCAACCCCGTTGCAAGGAATTTAAAAATAATCGTTCAAAGGCATCTTAATACCCTACTATTAAATATAAAAACTAGACATTTCAACAAGTTTTGTTTATTGAGCACACACGACTGACGCATAGAGAAGAATCTGAATTTTGTTGGTTTCTTTATACTCATTTTTCAACAAAGTATCAGTTTAATTTCAGTCAATTTGTGTAAAAATTTGGTTTGGTAAAGTTCATGAAAAATTACATTAAAGGTTATACCAAACATTCACAATGAGTTAGGCTGATTTGTTGTAAAAATGCAAAAACATCAAAATGGCTTCCCATTGAAATGTGAAAAAAATCTTTTTGGACATTAAGTAGCTTAGCTTAGTACCTGAGATACTTTCCAATTTGATAAAAATCTCTTGGCAGGTGTTCATAATATTCATAAAAAATTTAATTATCGCCAAACTAAGCAGACATAATTAACATTTATTTACATAGGACATGTTTTTCTTATCTGTTTATCAAATTATAAATAGCCCACTATGCTGTTTGGAACAATATTATGCTTTGCCAACAAGAGAATCATAATATTTTATACACATAATATGAATAATAATTTTAAAACTCATTGAACATAGTGGCACTTTGGTTTAAGCTTTCACATAATGTGTGTAAGCTATCTAGAGAAAGTTTGAGGACTCAGAAATGGAGATGAGCTCTTCCTAAACATTACCTTGTCCAATAAATCACAGTTTCACTGTTGTTCCATACTTTCGCTTTCAATCGGCCACACAAAGACTAAATGAACTCCAAAATATGTTCCAGCTTTTCTGAAAATCATAATTATAGCCCAAAAAAATTCAGCTAACACGATTTATCTTGTATAATTTTACCTTTAAGGGCTGTTTGGTAATGTACCGGTACCGGTAATTAGTAGGCATAATATTTATGTAGGCCTATAACTTAGTATCACAAACAACACAAACAAGCTATCTATTTCTATAAGCTATATTATTTTGTTCTTTTAAACATTTATGTCCTCATTCATGATCAAGGAATTTGTATGAGGATTTTGGTACATAATTTATAAAAATAATTTATTTCCAAAACATTAGTTCTGTGAGGCAATTAATTCTATTAGACCTGTTAATTTAATTGGTATAATATAATTTTATTAGCATTAAAGGGATAAGGATATTAAAGTGAAGTCTAAAAATGATTGTGACATCAGATTTAATGTTTTTGAGTGTCTAGAACCATTGAAGGTTCCTTATTATTCTCAAACCAGTCTCACGGTCATCTATAATTTATTCAGATCCTGATCCTGGCCTTATGTAATCCTGATGATGTTTTACTTTGTCAATCTATGATTATGTGAATGATAGCTATCTTTAGGAATAGCATAGGAAAGAGAAGCAAACTTATGTTCTGTTCATTTAAACTATGATTTTTAGTTAAAGAATTTTAGTACTTATATTTTCTGTTGAAATGACACTAACTTGGCTAACTTGGTAAAATAAATTAATAGTCTCCACCACAAAAAATTAAATAAACCTTTTTAGTAGGCTACCCTTAACAATTTTTTTATTATGGTAATGGTTGTGATTTTGAAATATAATAAAATCTACAGTGTTGGGTCTATAACATGGATTTTCTTACTTCATAACATTTTAAAGGAAGTTTAATAGCCTATTGATTATAATATCTCTTAAGGGATTGATAAATATCGGGAGCAAACTGGTCTAGTGGCTGGGCACGGGGTTTTGTTCTCTAAGGTCCCAGGTTCAAATCCCACCAATCACCTGAGGCTTCTATCTATGTGAAAATGCTGCAACCCTCTAGGCCTAGCGTGAATTATGTATGAAACAGTTCCGGGCTAGATCCTAACACCTCAAAATGTCAAGATAGAGCATAAAATAAAGGGATTAGAAATGTTAATGGTACTTTTTAAACCCTGGTTAGACAAACTAAATATATCTAGTACTAGTATACCTCTACTAGTGTTTTCTTGGGTTTTAATTTAATTGACATTTAAATCATAAATAGTCTCAGTTTAAGTCTTCACTAATGTTGTTTCTTGAGTCTTCATATCTTCAAATTTTGTGCATTCTCGTGTTTTTGGATTGGCTACAGAGCTAGGAAAATCCAGCCCAATAGAAAATTAGGTACTTGTACAGCGAAAACAAAATTTTAGATTTTTTTCTATTGAAATATTTATTTTGATTGCAGGTATTACAATACAATGTACCTGGAGGCAAGAAAAACCGAGGCTTGGCTTTGGTGCTGGCTCACCGCATGCTTGTTTCGTCTGATGCTTTAACACCCGAGAAAATCAGAGACACTCACATTATGGGATGGTGTATTGAAATGGTAAGTGGAATAGGGAAATGAGAAATAAAACATGCTGGTACATAATAGCAAAATTTTTGTCAATGATATGATAATTTAATGTAAATCAGGGCAAATTGGTAAAATTTTCTTTTATGCGTAGGATGAAAAAGTTTGTAATATTATATTGAAGCAAAATGACAATTTAGATCATTTAGACAATTAAGAAAGCAGGTTCCTTACTCATAAATTGATGGGTAGCATTAAACTGAGTGGTTACAGTTCTGAAGTTATCTGGTTTAATTCAAAGGTTAGCATAGCTAAATAAAATCCATATATTAGCCCATAAGCTGTGATAACTAAAAGTAGATTTACCTTCGTAAGTTACCACAAATTGAGCTGGAGACAAAGTTAAATACCTATTTCTAGCTAAATAACTCGAATACATTGTCAGAAGGGTATTTAAGTTGATTTTAATTTTAATTTTAGTCTTTTTGATCATTACAGTAACATTAGTAATGTTGTAAATCATATTTAAAGGGAAGCATAGCAGCATGTAGCTAGATAAACAGCATAACAAGTAGAATTGCTAGCTGTTTATTGAATCCAACTTCTTACAATTTCCAAACATTTATTTTGTTACAGAAAAACTAAAATACTATGTGTTAAATTAGCGAATAAAATAATTTTTAATTTGTACTGTAGGCCTGCTTAGTGGCATAACACATTCACCAACAGAAGCAGTAAACCTCAAGGCTAACGTCAAGGTTGAGATAAGAACGAGAGTTGGTTTGATTCATCCAAACAAATTAATTATTCTAATTGACTGGTGCAATCTTTCTAAAGATTAGACTTTGTACGAATAATAAAATGTACCCAAATATACAATAGCCTACTTTAATTACTTAAATATCAGGTGTTTTGTGCAATGCTAGATAAATGCTATTACACCACTATAGGCTAGACATCCAACTTTATTTTGTTGAACATTGAAAAATTTACAATAATTCATATAATAATCTGCAAAAATATATGATTTTGATTAAAAGGGGTAGCATTTCCTCATTGATTTCAGTGTTACATTTTTGATTGACCATTTTTCAAATTAGGTAAAGACTGGATTTATACATTTAATATCCACTTTAAACCAGGAGTGCTAGAAAAACAGGAAAACATTTTCAAAGGTTTAAAACAAACTAAAGAAATTAAAAAAATACTACAGTATGTAGGCCTATAGCCAACACAAGGCCAGGTGGCTGGCAGGTTACTTGCCTCTGGTAACTTAAAATACATTAGAGGCAAGTAACCTGCCTGCCAACCACCCGAGGCTCTACTGGCATTGTGTAAAACTCAGCTTAAGTTATGGATTAAAAAATTGTACGAGGTCTTTTAAATGGCTTAAAACACTATATTCAACCCAATGGTAATAATGTATAATTATGAAATAAGATAATTGCCCATGTTTGGTTGAAAAAGTGATCGTCTATGAAGGATAGATGTCAATACCCTTACCATCTGTTTTTGACAGCTTCAGGCGTTTTTCCTTGTCATCGATGACATGATAGACAATGCAGAGACTAGACGCGGCCGGCCGTGTTGGTATCGCAACCCCGACGTCGGCTACAGTGCGGCAAACGATGGCATCTTCATAGAGTCCGGGGTCTACCAGCTACTCAGAAAACACTTTAGCAACAAGCCCTACTACATGCAGGCTTTGGATATGTTTCACGACGTAAGTATTGAACAATACATCTATCTTATAACATATAGCACATAGAGTTTTTTTTAGGATAGTACACTTTTTAAGAAAGATTATCATTTTTGGTAGTCGAGTGTTTGTAGCGCTTGCTTACTAATCAGAAGGTTGCTAATTCGATCCTGAAAAGTCAGTACTCTTTTGATGGACTTGACCCACTGTCCTTGATTGTTTGGCTTTTGTATTAATATATATATTTTATTAATATGATCCTGGCTAAAGATCCAGCTGATCCTAGCTGGTAACAAAGACATAAAATTCCTTTAACAGTCGTCCTTCGTTTATCTTTACCTTAAACAAGAACACTCTTCCAATATAGCCTACACAAAAATATTTCTCCGACAGCATTAGCAACTGAGGAAAATTATCTGGATTGCAAAAAAATGCTGTCAGTTACAGTGACATATTACAGTGTTTGTGTATAGTGCAAGGTTTTTGTGTTTCATGTGCCTGGGTAGGCTCCTCCAAATTATGTAGGCCTTCTATCCGAACAAAAACCATTTTACCAAGAGTTATAATACCCACAGATAAATTATGTCAATTTGAACAAACTGTGAGGCTTCTGACAGCTCTAAAAATAAAATATAAGTCATTCCTAGATCAAGGTTTATTAAGAGTAAAATAATAGTTAGGCCTACTCAATAGAAAAGATTACTAGAAAAGAAAGATCACTTGATAAATGTTGTGTGTTCAGGTTACTCACAAGACGATCATGGGCCAGACCTTGGATGTACTGACAGCTCAAAGTCTCCACAAGTACAAGCTGGACAAGTTTACTATGGACAGATACAACAGCATCGTCAAGTACAAAACCTCCTACTATTCCTTCCATCTACCTGTTGCACTGGCAATGTATATGGTAAGTAGATGCTCTTCCAATGTGAAACCATAGAAAGCCATCATACTCAGTTATATCCATTACCAATCGAAGGGTTTTTCTCTTAGTTGATTTGTCGTATTTTAATGTTTGTGCTGAATAAACTTTTGTGAGCTCAGTAAAGATAGTGGTTGTAGGAAGTCAACTGAAGTTAGATGTACTCGGGAAAGTGGCTTAAAACCTAATAATATTGTTTGACTTTCGAGGAAAGGTTAGAGTGAATCCCAGTAATCCCTATTGCTCAAAAGTAGGGGAGGGGTGACGTGTTGTTTAGTATGTGGGACACAGAATGTGCCAAGAGGATTGAAAGTGGCCTAAGCTCAAGAAGGAAATAGATGTTTACGGAAAGCTACGAGGCAAATTTAAGTCCCAGACTTAAGCCCAGGGTAGTTGCGGGAATGAAGGGCTTCGGTCCCAGTCCAGCATATCTCAAACGTTCCTGCTATCCCTGCAGGTCCGGGTTTTTTTAGTACTCAATAATCTGACATATTTAGCAATTCAGTAGGCTACTGTAAAAGTCCTATATGTCTCCTGAACTCACCGAAACATGTTTCTTGAGTGATTTGTTCCCTCAAATAAATAATTCATTTTGCTAAAATTTTAATTCCATTGGGTTTCCCTAGACGGGCACAAACCATATTTTTACAGTTTAATTTTTTAAATTTGTCTTGCAATGCAAGAAAAGCGTTGATAACGCTCAGTTTAGTTAAGGAGTTACTTTTGATCTTAACGTGCTTCAATACTTTGTTTTTAATACAATTTTTCTACAGCTCCAAATTAACTTAGCTTTAGTTAAGTTAACCTTATCTACCTTGAAGTATCTTACTCTAAAGCCTGATAACATAGTTTTTTAAGCATGACTGAACTTACTTCCAAAGAAAAATAGTGCTTTTAATAGTTAATTGTAGCCAAATAATTTTTGTTATTGAATGAAATTATTGACCTAATATCTGAGGTGAATTTATGTATGTTTCTTTCTGAACCTGTTATGTTTATTCATGGGTGTAAATTTTTGTATCATAGGCTATTATTACATTACTTAATTAATTACCGGTACTTGTGTTAAACTCTGTGGCAATATCTATTTCAATCTGTATTTTATTTATGATGGTAAAGAAAAAGATTTTTGATTAAAGCAGTTTTGGAGAACGATACAAAAATATTGAAACTACTACTGTGTTTAATGAAAAAGATAAACACTATTACACTCCTTCGTTTTTCTGTCACGCAAACTCATTTCTAATAAGTACACAAGACATGAAAGTGCTCAGGTAATGTTTTCTACATTATAATTATTTAATTAGTGACTTCCTTCATCAAATTCAAGGACAACCATAGAAGCATGGAGATGCATGCTTCAAAAATTGCAGGCGGAAAGCATGACCTAAACACGTAATACATAACATTTCAACTTATAAATTGTTTTTTTTACCTATGTAATTGTTTTTTTCCTAATCCTAGTTAGTATAGATTTATATTTAAATTGAAATATAACATTCCAACTGTATTGTTCTATATTGTTTGTTTTCATTTTAACTGATTAATCCTTAGCTCCTTTGTTCCATCTTATTCGTCATTATGTCTTTCAATTGTAAACATATTTGACTAGTTTACTATTAGATATGCATGAAATATTGTTATTGCTCTAGATAACTTTTTAAAGGTATTGAAATGGTGTATATGCAATATGCATTGAAGGAGCCTGTTTTGAAATGTCATTTTCAGTACTAGCAAAAATAAAAATAATATCTATCACATTAGAGTGAGCTTTGGCATAACTTGGTGACTGAAGATGTTGACTCTGAAAGTCTTGAGATTTTTCAAACTGAACTCCTGTACATGAGCAAGTATCGTTAATTAGAGTATGAAAACAACTTATGTAAAATAATCTGAAAAGTGAAAATGAAGCGATTTTAGGGTGTTTAACTTCATTGTTGGTTTCGTTTCAATTATTACTGCTATTAATTAATGTTTTATTTTGCACTCAGTTTTTCCACACTATAACAGTGTAATTTTTTAGGCTGGTATAACAAACGCAGAGGCTCACAGACAAGCTAAAGTTTTACTTCTTGAGATGGGAAATTTCTACCAAGTTCAGGTAAACTATATCGGAAAAAAATCTTGTTTTGGTTAGAAGTATATATAGTTACAATAAAAGAATAATCCTCTAGACAAAAAATTGATCATAAAGTATTGACAGTTATGGATAGAGTTATGTTTGAGTTTTTCTTTAAGTTTACAGAAAATAGTACACCTTGATCTGAAGTCTGAATAATTGATTTTCAATGTATAGACTAGACAGCAATGTTCCAACAGCACTAACAGAAAGCAAACCACAAAATACATATAGTAAAAAATTAGGAGTTCAATTACCAATCTGGTTGCAATCATTGCATTTGTCTTATTGCCGCAGGATGATTACATGGATTGTTTTGGAGATCCGGGAGTAACCGGGAAAATCGGGACGGACATTCAGGACGGGAAATGCTCATGGCTGGCTGTAGTGGCTCTACAAAGATGTACCCCGCAACAGAGAAAAATCATGGAGGTATGTCACAGTAGTTAGTGTAAGTGTAGTAACCGATCTTTTAGTCAATAATAGTAACAAGTCTGTTTTGTTAACTACTTTTTATTATAGTCTTGGTTTGTCTGTTGGGGGATACAGTAATTAGCTTTGGAATACATTGAGGAAAAGTTTCACAACTAAGGAAAAAATTTTCCTGTCATTTAATAGTACACAATTTGTCAATGTATATAAAATTTGATATTTCTTCCTTTCATCTTCAACTTCAAATAGTCTTTAAATATTGTGTTGTGGCAATTCCTCAGCCAACATAGTAAGATACTCTAGAAGAAGCTCTAGTGTAGCTGATTGGACTCTCTTGTACAAAACAGTAAAAACTTCTCACGGCTTCAATAACACCCAAACACAGTATAAAATTTCCCTCGTAATGCACTTTACATGTGTTTGTTTTTCACTTTAGTATATTGTCAGTAAAAATGGCTGACGGTTAAACAATTCCCGTCCTGAGCAAATCCCGAATTAAATGTAATCCTGGGCCTGTGATCAGGAATATATTTTTCCTCAAAATTTCCTGTAATTTTGGGTCCCTCCCTACTTTGATATTGCATCATATAAGTATACCTTGTGGACAATACTCAATATTCATGACCGAGTATTTCCCGTTACAGGAATGCTATGGCTCAACCGACCCGGAGAAGGTGAACGCTGTGAAGGAGGTTTACAATCAGATAAATTTACCGCACATTTACGCAACTTACGAGGAGGACAGCTACAACCTAATCACCACTCACATTCAACAACTGTCGGCCGGTCTCAACCACGAGGTGTTCTTCAAACTGCTCGACAAAATATACAAACGGGACAACTAAAGAGCAAACACTCGTCACACTGGATGTCTAGATACCTTAGGTTAGGATTTAGGTGTAACTACTTAGTCATTGAGCCGTAGTTATGACCTTGAATCGTTGTTAAGGTCGGTGCCAAAGTATTATGGGGGAAGTACAAGGGTAATCAAACTAGGTTATATACCATGCTTTAAAAAAGTGTTTGTAGTTTACTGAATTATCAGATTTGCATGCAATCCAGTCATATCAGTTTTGTTGTAGTTTTTTTTTTTTTTTTTTTTTTTTTTTTAAGTAGGGTTATAGTTTTCTCAGTGAAAATCAAAACATTTAAAACCGTTCAGATTTAGATGTGCCTTTTCAAAAGTGAGATCACTAGATGCATTTGAAAGACTACCTCATGACCACATAGACTGCATTTCCATTCCATTTTAAAGTATTCCATTCTCGGTGATTTTATAAAGGACGTTTTTATGCTCACATTTGAAACGTACAAATGAGCTCAAATGTTCTAGCAACTATAATATGGCCAGGTTTTTAGTGTTCGAAATCTTGGTAATAGAATCTCTCTCATTTTAGCAATATTTAGTTTATTTGCTCAGAAAGTAATACAATTTCTTGCCCAACTAGGATTTTTTAGGTAGGTACAAAAGGTGTCATTGTGTTTTTTACTAATGGTTTTTGTGGTATAGTAGAACCCCAAGTATCAGAATCAATTACAGAAGAAATTGAAAAAAAGTTTGTGTTGTAATTACCGAAGGCAGTAGCCATTGTTGGGGATAAACCCTGAACCTCTCCTGTGGATATTATTGTCTCCCGCGATCACGAAAATATTATTTTCGGTAACTGCGGCAATGTCATTTCCTGCAGTCACGGACAATAATTTCGTCCTCTTTAACCATAGGGAAAGCGTAAATTTCTCAATCCCAAAATCTTTGTAGGCGCGTTTTGTGAAAGACTCAATAACTGTGGTGAGTCGGTTGCTCAGTTGGTAGTGCCATGGACTTTTAGCAGCAATGTCGTGGGTACCTGGCACTACTTTTTATCAGTACACATCATTCTTGTACTGTACCGGCTCACCCCTTGCTTGACTGGATACGTTCCACACGCACAGACCTCTGTTGCCTATGAGGATAGGCAAATCCAAGATAAAAGGGGCCACCCTCTTAAAAAAGAATACTTGACTGCAAATATTCTTTTACAATGGCTGCTAACTTTGATAAATAAAATAAGGCAATAAAATACCTCGATTCTGTAGCAATATTTAGAAGGTATTCTCCTGAAATGTTAATGGACTCAAGATTTTTTTTAGTTGAATGTAAATAAAATAAATATATGTGGCAGTATAAAAGTGTACTTGAAACCAACTATTAAACCTGTAGTTTTAGAATATATTTTAGGTGCATATCACATCTAAGTTCTTTTTTCTGTAGTTAACCTGTAATTACAAGTTTAAACCCAAAGTTCATGGGTCATTTTTTGACTTTGTAATACCTCTGTCCGTGTTTGTCTGTTGACTCTGTTTGTATTTTGAATGCATAAAGCATTTTAAATTTTAATGTCCGTATAAAGAAAGATAAATAGTTGTGTTTGAGTCACAACCATGTTTTAACCCTGCTTAAAAAATAGTAGGGATGGACGGGTCCCGAAATTTCGGGAATTTTTCGGGAAAAAAATATTCCCGATTATCGGGACGGGATTACAATTGACTCGGGAATTTTTCGGGACGGGATTTGGTCCGATCGTCGGCGATTTTTCCGCTTCGCGAGTGCCGATAACGCCGTTATTGCGAGCGATAGGTCCGCGAACGCAGGAGGCGAAGTCATACCGACGATCGCGCCGTGACCGCGGAGTCCTACCGACGATCGCGCCGTGACCGCGAGTCATACCGACGATAACCCCGTGATCGCGAGTCATACCGACGATCGCGCCGTGACCGCAAGTCATACCGACGATCATGCCGTGACCGCGAGTCATGACGACGATCGCGCCGTGACCGCGGAGTCATGCTGACGATCGAGCCGTGATCGCGAGTCATACCGACGATCGCGCCGTGACCGCGAGTCATACCGACGATAACCCCGTGACCGCGGAGTCATACCGACGATCGCGCCGTGACCGCGAGTCATACCGTCGATCGCGCCGTGACCGCAAGTCATACCGACGATCATGCCGTGACCGCGAGTCATGACGACGATCGCGCCGTGACCGCGGAGTCATGCTGACGATAACCCCGTGACCGCGGAGTCATACCGACGATCGCGCCGTGACCGCGAGTCATACCGACGATCGCGCCGTGACCGCGAGTCATACCGACGATCGCGCCGTGACCGCAAGTCATACCGACGATCATGCCGTGACCGCGAGTCATGACGACGATCGCGCCGTGACTGCGGAGTCATGCTGACGATCATGCCGTGACCGCGAGTCATGACGACGATCGCGCCGTGACCGCGGAGTCATGCTGACGATCGAGCCGTGATCGCGAGTCATACCGACGATCGCGCCGTGACCGCGAGTCATACCGACGATCGCGCCGTGACCGCGGAGTCATGCTGACGATCGAGCCGTGTTCGCGAGTCATACCGACGATCATGCCGTGACCGCGAGTCATACCGACGATAACCCCGTGACCGCGGAGTCATACCGACGATCGCGCCGTGACCGCGGAGTCCTACCGACGATCGCGCCATGACCGCGAGTCATGACAACGATCGCGTCGTGACCGCGAGTCATACAGACGATCACCCCGTGACCCGCGAGTCACAAGTTACTATAGGTACCTGTAAATTGTTACCCATTTTTTGGTTTTTATAGATCAGTGCCACAAATGGTAAAAATTGATTTCGTATGTCTTTTTTTGGTAACTGCAATACAGTACTTTCTTTTTATGCACAGAAAAAAATCCCGTCCCGTCCCGTCCCGAAAATCGGGAAGGAAATAAAAATCCCGTCCCGTCCCGTCCATCCCTAAAAAATAGATTCAATCTAGTAATACAATTTTGAAACATTTCTAAGTCCATATGAGATGTTGGATTTTAGCAGCTCTCTGAATACTCTCTAATTTTTCTTCTTTCAATTCAGTGAAAATGATTTTGTGAGTGGAATGTGTTGTTTTTAAATTTGACATTGATATGTTTGATTAATATTGTTAAGTTTACTATCTATTCTGCAGTGTTTTTGTAAAATTTGTCGAGAGTCAAGCTTTTTTCAAGATACACGCTTATTTTACGACAATTATTTGCTATAGCATTATAAATAGTAAGTTTGTATCTAAAAACTGGTATAATGGATCATTGAGGTGTTGCAAGATGTTTCTATTTGTCATCAACAAAATATGTTTAAAGTATTGCTTCAAGTATTAATTAGCAATAGATAATACTGTATTTTAAGTGTTTTTTGGCAATAAGCAATAACATCACTGAATTATATGCTTATAGCCGTTTCTTGGGATTAAATTTTGTTTGAGTTGAGATTTTGAAAGTTTATCATACTAGTCTATGGTTTCGTAGTGGTGATAATCTGATCTCAAATAGAAGGGACCTAATTCAAGTATTATTAATAAACTATTTTGTGGGCATTAGTAGAAATACCGAATGAACATAAAAGTTTTTACATTTAATTTGTCATCGAATTATTATTATTATTAATTAATTATTACTATTATTATAGTTCGGCCGCTTAGAAAGCGACCTCCTCCAGCATTGGTTTAGCATTAGCGCGCAGGTCGTTTTCTAAGCGGCCGAACATTAATTATTAATTAATAATTATTAATATAGAAATTCTGACATACAAAATGTGAACTTGAATTGTGTTTCTGGTTTGAATTCAGTTTATGTACACCCTTGGACCTTTAAAAGTTGTGTTGCACATTTATATTGTTTGATTTTATAGTAAAAAATATACAAATGTAAAAGTTACCTATGCTTTTAATACCTTTCCTCAATGGTTTTTTTCATTGGCCACAAACGAGTTGATGTAAAAGTAATCTCGTGGATCGTCAGGCATGGACTCTGTTACTCTCACACCCAAGTCAGAGACAATCATTGGCGAGCAACACACAGTACAGGTTTTGTTTGGTTGGTGACAAAGAAAGAAATATAAAAATTGATATCCCATTCGATGGTTATTAACATGATTAAATTTCATTGGGGAACCCCAAAAACCCCTTTATTGGAATTTTTTTGTATTCAGGCTGTACAGTATTTTTATTTTTAAATATATTTTTGAAACCAAGTCTTGCCTCAACTTCTACAAAGTACAGTAAGCTGATGGAAAAGCTAGATTAAAAAAAATATCTATGATTGATTCATTAGGGAAATTATAGTTCGACCTTTTATGGAAGTTTCAAAATTATTTATTCAGTGAGAGGTTATCAACTCAATCTGAATTTGACCTCTTTTACTATCATTAATTCATCACTATGTCCACTCATTTCAGAATGACTTGAAAGTGAATGGCTGTGTTTAATTCATGACAGATGAAAATGTTTAGTTATGAGGTAAGAACAATTTGGTTGTTTTTTTTTTCATTTTGGAACTATTTCCGGTACAAAAGTTGTATGATCTATGAAAATTTTAACTAAAAAAAAGGTCATATACAATACTACATTACAAATTAAATTAATGTTTGAGTATTTTATTTTTTAGATCCTCTATCAATATGCAAATTTGATAGTTATAGCAACTTTAGTTAAAAATATAACAAAAAAAATTTTAAAAATCATGATTATTTAGCATTGTTTTAGGCTTGATAAAGGGTCAAATAGCCTTATTACTTTAGACCTGTTGATTCTTTTGCCATTTATCAAAAGTCCAATGATAGCTCAGTCCAGTTTCCGACTTTATCTTTTTAGAGGACCAAGCCTCTCGATTTATAGACAAGCACTAACTTAAATCCATTCTGCTTCCATCTATTCTTTTATATTCCAAGTGGGGTAATTTTTAGGTCCACATTCGATTTGTAATTGGGCAATCAATTTATGATGCTTTATGAGACCAGAATTAAAATTACCAAAGTAATAACTACAACCTGCAGGACAAAAGGTCATATGAGTACACATTTAAAAATTTTACATTTATTTGTCTTTAAATTATAGTTAAATTTATAAAAATAAAACTTTACAATATACAGCAAATATGAATCGGTCAAGAAATGTTAAGAGTATTTATATTACTGTCATAAAATGTTAGGCGATACAAACTTAACAAAGGATTCCAATAACAGATCAGCAAAACAGTAACAATGCCACACGTTTATAAAGGGCAAACATACCACAAAAACGAAGAGTTCAAAGACATGTAAATAAGTCATTGAATTAATTGTGTCAACTACTTGGGAACTGTTGTAAAAATATATATTTAAATTTGAGCTGGCTTATTTTTAAGCTGAAACTTTTCACAAATTAAAATAAAATATTAAAACAGTAACGGCCAGGAACAATAGTTACAAGTAGCTTATGATAAATATGAAACAAAGGGAAGGGAAGGAACCGATTCTTAACTCTTTTTAAGCACCAAGAATCCAATCGTGTCTGATATGTCTCCTATCAATCTTTGTTCGACAGTTGGAATTGATAATCAACTTTTATTTTTATATTATAAATATTTGTTATTAAAATTAATTATAGTGGAGTTATGTATCCTTAAAATCACTTTTGAATGATTGCTAATTTTCCAGCCTCACCTCAAACATTAAACTTGGGTTTGAGTAAGAAAGTGTTACTTTTGATCCAACTGACAAAATACAGGCAACTAGAATCCCAACAAATTGACATACAGCTGCACTACTATGGCATTTTTGTTAAGTAAGAGAAAAAACCAAATTGTCCTTATAGTAGGCCTTTTTATTAGTTGAGGAAAAAACTATTTTAGTCATTGCTAGGCCTTTGCACTGAACGATTTCACACTCTTTGAAAGTCTGGAACAAAACTTGATAGACCTTATAACTAAATTGTGGTGAATACTACCACTTTATTTGATAACTTAACAAAAATATATTAATCTATATCTGTAATATACTAATGTAATAACCAACCCTTTTTTGTGTATAATACACGCAACAGTTTAAAATAAACTTAATCACAAAAATTAGGCCTCCATCTTAACCTTAAGTTTCCATGTAATAACAAACCTGTAGCTTACGTTTATGAGGATTTTTTAAAAATATACATTTATCATAAAAGTATCTAAAATAATCCAAATTCTGTAATCTACATTTGATTTTAATCACAATCACTAGGGTACTTACCCTTGATTTGGTGTGACAAAATGATAATAGCTACAATAAAATTACTGTAAGAGAATAAATTCACACAGTGAACCAGTTCAGGAGCTGATAAGAAATAGGTACCTAAAGTTGATAAAGTAACACAAAATTATGTCAAGCATATATGATAATACAGAATTAACAGATATTTTAACATTGATGAATACTATATTTGCTAAGTCCTGATGTAAAAGGGTTTATTTGATTTAGTAGGTTAAATCAAGCTAAATATTTTTGTTTCTCACGATAGACAGTGAATTTTAATAATATTCTGTAGATAAATTGACATATAAACTATTATTTAGTGCTCTCATTGGCTACGTTATTTTGTTCATACAGTACAATGTTTGGGTTCATATTTAAATTTAGTTTTACACAATGTATATGGACCTAATTTGAAACAATCAGGAATATAACCCTCCAAAAACAAAATAGAATGTTTCCTAAATATTAAATAAAATTACAATGTATCAATTGTCAAAGGCATATGCCTACATCATGACTGCTCTATAGAATGGCTAGAAAAATAATTTATTAAACTTCAAGTTTCTATTGTACTTATTTTAAGTAAGTAAAAAAATATCAATCCGTCTAAGTACTTTATAAACTGTGCGGACTTGGAGACTTGATAAGTACAGGTTTATAGTTTTTAGGAACAAAGAGCAAGTTCGACATATTTCCAATAATTTAGTAAGAAATTGAATACCGGAACCTTTTCAATTTAGGAAAACAATCCAGAAATTTTAATAAATATTTACTCACAAGCGCAGAGCAGGTGTATAAATAAAGATAAATGCTAAATATTTTTACTTGTATTTAATCAGTGTTGGTTTAGAGTTTTAAGTTAAAGCATGTACGTAAACAAAACAAGTAAAGAGATTTCCTATCCTACGAAGGATTGGGGTTTACAATGTAAAATACAGTTTATACACCTTATGAAACAGTAGAACTTTGTTTTACTATATCAGGGTTGCGTTTAGATTAAATCTAACAATAAAAAAATAACAATATTTTTACTGAAGGTACTGAATGCAAAACACAACACGGTCAGAGTCTGTTATGTTAAGAATAACTCTTGGATAATCAATTGGTATAAAAAAATGACTATCACAAGAAATACCAGGAATTTCTACAAGATTATATGAAGTGTATCATGAAAAGTATCATTTATCTAAATGTATAAAAATGTTAAACACTTACAGACATTTAACTTCATATTTCCTATACATTTTTTATGTACAAGTCGTCACTTCGCCAGAACATTATTTTATGAGTTGTAGTGTAGTACTCAATTTACCGATTGCCAGATGGATTTATGGAACTTAAAAGCAGCTATATTACTGAATATGAAATATCATATTTACAAATACATTATATAACAGCTACAGGGATGAGAAGTTAAAAATTATTTTTTTAAATAGAACTAAAATAGTAATATTTTGTTTAAACTAAACATACTTTATGATAACAATCCAGTTTAATGGATGTTATTAAAATAATTATTATATTAATAAGTGCAGGCAAACATGAGAAAAGCTGATATGTAGCCAAGATTATACAAATTCAACTACATTGACATTCCATTATTAACAATAATGTACAAAGTCCACACCAAACAAAGGCTTCTCCTGGCAAGTTCCTATTAATTCTATAATTTTACAAAACAATATATGCGATAACACTTAATTTACAATATATATTATATAGTTTCATTTAGATCTTATTCAACAACAAAACAATTTATACTTTATGTTGCAAGATAGTTGGTCAGAGGTGTCCTTAAAATTTTCATATAACCTTTGATTGTATGTTTCATTAAAATTTGAATAGTTTGATATGTAGTTGCTAGTTTTGTCAATTAGAAAATTCATGTAAATCAAAATTTGAGGTCAAAATTACAATTTTGAACTATCTTTATTTTGAAATAACAGGCTATACCAACAAATTGGATTGTATGATAAAAAAATACAAATTTATAAAATTGCAGTAGCCTACTTAATAAATTGAAAAGAAATGTCTAGATGTATGGATCCAAAATATAAAAAAAATACTAAGACAAAGAACAATAATATGCCTTATAGTTTCAATACACTACACAGTCTCAAAAAATGTATATATACAAGGACACCTTGGAATCAATTACATTTGGACAACAAAGGCCTGAATTTGCAGTAGGTTTTGTCAACTCCTAGAACAGTTTGAGAAACATCGGAGTTACGGTCCACAACGAGGCGACGAGCAGTCAGCGCATCGTTGTAGAGACATCCAACATTAGGTGGTGCCATAGAACTTGGGCTGCCAACACAAACAAACATGTAAAAAATCTTCAACGTTTGTTTGGACAACAAAGTGAAAAAATGTTATTGATTTTCACTATTTTCAGCTATTTATACTGTTTTTGCTTGATTTGAAGTATATTATTTAAAGAAATTAGCACTCAGTACACTTCGGCAAATGACAATATAGCAGTTGGTTTAATCTTTTGGTTAATCTCATAGACCTATTACGAGAATTTCTTATTATAACCCTTGGATTATGTTTGATTTCAAGTAGAAGGTACACTAGTGTAATATAAGTGTAACTGTTTAAACATATTTTTAATTTACTTTCCAATACAGAGAAGAAATTAAGAATGTAAAAAATGATTATAGAAATGATTTTACTTAAGGACAAAAACAGATCTTTTTGGGGCTCGTATGCTGCATGTACCGTATCTTATGCCCAATTTTACTGTTTAAGTTAATTTGCATGCATAAAAAGTGTCAACTTCCTAAATATATGTATCCTACAACAGATGTTATTCAATAAAAAAAGTGTTAGTCATTATTTAAAATGAGCAAAAAAACTGGTAAGCGGTTAGCCTAGGTTTTTCACAAACTATTATCAGCTCACAATATGTTACATCTTTAGAACCATTAACTAAACCACTATTTGTATGCAGTGCACTTAAATTAAGAAACTGTTATCGTAGAAAGTTTTGCCAATGTTAATAGTCCCATCCCCAATACAAAATTTTAAAATAAATAAGAGAAGTTTTCCAATTTTTCTTTAAAATTCAACCTAGGTCAGTAACCACATCGACAAATAGAATAAATATAGAATAGATAAAATTATAATAGAATAAAAATATTTTAAACTTGACTTTGAGATAAGAGAATCCATTGAGTTTTTTTTTTTGTGGTAAACTCTAATATAATTTTTAGTGGAGTACTCTGAATACTCAAACTCAACTTGCTATGACTCTTGAAAACCATTTAGAACTCACATCACTTGAATTTCTGTTGCAAAAATCTGTTAAGCCTTAAGAAGCAACCTGCATCTTGTTGTTATCAAAAACACTCATATTTTACGTGTTAAACCATTATTAATCTAAAGATCACTAGTAACAATCAAGATTATTTTTCCCATTTGGGTGACATTTTTTAACCTGGGAGGGGGTTAAAATTTAATCCATACAATTGTTAATAGTGTTATCATTACCTTATTCTATGTAGAATTTTGAACACGATAAATAACAAACAAATGAATATCTGCAATTTGGTTTAGTAACTCAACAAAACTCTCAAAGAAAAACAAATTAATCACAATCCAATCTCTGTTAAATAATTTTTATTGATTACCTTCTCGTAAATAAAATCTTCCAAAACACAATGAAGTCTAATCTACCATGAAAGACGCTTTCAAAACAACTCCAAACCAATCACAGCTGATCAACTCACGAACAGCTGATCAGACAACTGTCGTCCGTAGAGGCCTCCATCGAGGAGGGGGTGTCACCCCATTAGACTTACGACTGATATGGTCTCTCTGCCAAAACATTTACATGGTACCACTTTATGTTCTACAATAACGGCGGATTTCATTCATGGCAGTTGCAGTTATATAGTTTTAGACAAAAGTGATCCTTCTCTAAAAATTGTTGTAGATTCACAGTTACACCCTATGTTTTAGTACTTTCTATGAGACCATGTGATCATTCTTAGACAAATCACAGATAATGGTTGCCTGAAGAATTACTGCACCACATTGCTGGATGAAACCAATTAATACAAACCTTATAAGAAGCAAAATGCTTATGAAGAATGAATTTTGCCGCCGAAATGAGCTTCGTGCTTCGCTCACCGCTAGGATGTGTTCGCGTGGCAGCCCCACTACTTTATCCATCTCTCTCTAAGCTAATTCTTTATCACACTTTCTCTCACTCAGTCAGTTGACTTGGCCGCTTGCTCGCGATAGTAGCGCTTTCGCTACATAGCGGCCGCCACAGGAATTATCCGAAATTCAAATATTCCTAGACTGAATTTTTAACATAGACATAGCACTTCTTATAAGGTTTCTATTCAATTGGTAGTACAAAAATTGCTGACATATGTGGGAATTTTAGAAAGTCTGAGAAGACTGTAGACTATTTACTTTGCGACTGCCTGAATCAGGTAAGAAAAAGCAACTATGGTAAGGTGCAGACACCTGCTTCAAAGATCTGCATTTTTTATAATAATTTATTTTACTAACAGTCCTTATCATATGTTTTACATGATGTGCTAGATGAGATCTGCCCAACATTTTAAGTCAACATTCAACCGCATGGTGTAATATTACTCCCACAATAGTTCCTACTCACACTTAGTTATACCATAGACAAAAAGAATTAAATATAGACCGTCAGCTGTGCTGCGGTTACCATAGGTTCTGGCGCACACCGCTTGGAGCACCACGGTAGTTACGGCGTACGCGCTGCTTAAACTACAGCGGTGTGCGCCGGAACCTATGGTAACCATGGCAACCGCAGCACGGCTGACAGTCTATATTTAATTCTTTTTGTCTATGGTTATACAGAGTGGTAAAAAGTCCCAGGACAGTTAAATATTTTAAAAAATAATGCAGATAGAGCTACAATACTTGGTACAAAGTTACAGGGCATAAAACTCTATTTTAACACATATTCAGTGATCCAATAACTCTTCAGGGGGACGGCCCACAAGGAGTCGGAAGAAAATCTTAAATGGAAGCATAGGTCAATATTCACATCAAATTAAAGGTCTTTTTTAGTAGAATAAAATGCCGCAAACAGCACTTCAAAAGGTTGATCCTGCGCAAAATGACAGTTGTTCAAAGATTCATTTAATTTACATTGCTATTACACGCTTACTCCTCAGGGGGCACAGCCCTAAGAATCGGAAGAAAATGGTTAACGTAAGCATAGGTCGATATGCAAATCAAATTAAAGGTCTTCACTAGTAGATTACGATGCCGTAAATTCAAGTTTAAAAGAATGCCTGAGTAAAAAATGGCAGTTGTTCAAAAATTCAAAATGGCGGATTCAAGAAATCTTTGAACATCTGCCATTTTGCGCAGGATCAACCTTTTGAAGTGCGGTTTGCGGCATTGTATTCTACTAAAAAAGACCTTTAATTTGATGTACAAATATTCCATGCAAATATTCCATGAGACCTATGCTTCCATTTAAGATTTTCTTCCGGCTCCTTGTGGGCCGTCCCCTGAAGAGTTATTGGATCACTGAATATGTGTTAAAATAGAGTTATATGCCCTGTAACTTTGTATCAAGTATTGTAGCTCTATCTGCTTTGTTTTTTAAAATATTTAACTGTCCTGAGACTTTTTTACCACCCTGTATATACGATTGGTTTAAAGTTAATAGTAAGACACTTATTGAAACATAGCGTGTTTGTAAAAGTATCCGTTTCAAACCATAGATTATGTGTGCACACAGAAAAGTGAGGTACAGAGGACACATTCAATGGTACACTTAAGTGGTGTCTAGGGCAAAGTCAACAACGGCCTCCCCCCTCGCCCTCATCTAATATGCTGCAACGCTCACGGTGGAGGACGACCCAGTGCGAAAGGAATTTCCGCACAGTGCTCGCCACGCAAAATATTTCCAGTACAATATACCGGAGCGGAGAGGGCACGATCGTTTCAAAAGCATGTTTCCTCTGTACCTTACTACTTGGTGGTGTGTACGTGTGCAGAACTAGTAAACTGTGTGGATTTCTCGGCACATGTGAACAAAACACCTTAACAAAATAAACTATTTAATTACACAACACTGTACAGTAACAATAAACATTTTGAAGGATGGATGGATTATGTGGGAGAAGGAGGAATGTCATATACCTGATCATGATCTGTCTCATTGTTCATGGACCTGTCTTCTTCTTCGTCTGAATCTTCCTCGCCGGAAGAGTCCGCGGAGCCACTTCGCTCTTTCAAATCTGTAACAAATTTGTTCATTAGCACCAAAAAAATGAAAGGTTGAGGTTATAAGATAGTTTCCTAAACATATTTGATTTTTAATGTTATGTTTATTTTTTTAATGGTTTTCCAACTGACTACAGAGTTTTCACCATGGTTTTCCTGAGGTCAGATGTTTGGTACCTGATTTGTTGAGTGAGTTGTCATTGGAGTTCTGTTGGGCCTTGGCTCGAGACAGAGTGTCGTAGCAGTTCAGACACACACGGAGAGGCTTGGACGACTGGTTGGGCAAAAGGAACCTGCAAACATACGGACAGAGTGAAAACAACTGTACGTGCAACAACTGATTTCAGACGGACAGGTGCAGCTGAAGCCAAATTTAATTACTGTTTTTCTATGTTCTATGTTACTGTTTTTTATTTTATAAAGTATATTTTCCACCAACACAAAACATACAATCTGTATTTAATGAATGGTCAAATAAGTTAACATTTAAAATATCACATTCATGTTTACTATTTTTACAAATAAAGCTTTTAATTTCAATAGAGCTGACTGGAACTATCAAGGTCGGAGAAAAGTGAAATCTTGTTTACATCTAATTGTGACGTTATGTTATAAGTGAGACACTGTACACCTCCCTGGTAATTTACGAATTACAAACAGAATGTTGAATTTATATATCAAGTAACTGAGCCAAACCTCTTTTTATAGATCTGCAAATTTAAACTGCAGTAAATTTGTTCATTTATGATCTAATTGTTTATATATTAAAAACCCCTGAATATCTTCAATTTAATAATCACAGTCACAACACTCGTTTTAAAAATACTGTGCTGTTAGAATCCCATCGTCTCAGTACAACTAGTAATTGCCACATAATTTTATCAATTAAAGTGTATAATTCAGTAAAAAATAAATAATATAAATTTTCATTCAATTAACAAATTTAAGGCTATGTTTTATAATTATCTACTTCAGAACCCTTTTTATAGTCTGGATGATTATTTTAAACTGGGAGAAATTGTCCTTTAGATTGGTTTTAATTTCAGTTAAGAATGTGAATGGAGTTGAATGTTAATTGTAATATTTGGCCTGTAAGAGTATTTTGTTGTTTATGTTAAGACTTGGTTTGAAAACTGCAAATAGACTTTGTCAATGATATGTAAATGTATCCTTATGGCAAATAAAGATTGATTGTTTGGCAATCTCTGTAAGAATTTTGATTGAGACACTAAGAGTGTGACTAACTTGAAGCTATGCTTATGGTAAAATATAGCATCTTATGTTCCATAATAACAATCACAGTGCAAAAAATACTGCAGGAAATATAATTAGGACAATCTAGTACCTATGGACGATAGCCTGTAAGGCGTATCAAACTATATTCTTTTTAGTAAAAAAATTGGCCATGTCTGGTCCATACAGATAGAATGTCAACCACAGCAGCAAAACGTCATGCTACAATCCTCAATATAGTCTAATTAAGATGTTACAAAAATACAAATGAAATCAAATGTTTATTCGTCACACGGAATTTACATAATTGTGATACATCACCAGTAAACATATGACACGTCAGTTTTTTTAGAACAAAACACATATTATAAATTTTATTTTATTGCACCGGTAATTAGTAATTAATAAAAAAAAGTCAGAAGTTTTAAAATAAAATAAAAAAGAATGTCGATAGTTATGAAAAATTCTAAAGTAGTTCTCAATGTTCTTCAAGTAGTTTTTTTTTAAATATCCATATTTTCTGTCAATTTTATTTGGTTAGGGAGGTGGTTAAATAGCTTCCTATTCATATACAAAGGAGCTTTCTCATAAATAACTGTTCTATGGAAAGGGAACTGAAGAGTGTTTCTATGTCGAGTGTTGTATGGATATTGATGATTTTTTGATGAGAACGAGGTTAAGTGGTTTTTAACAAATATACATAGTCGATTATATACACAGCATGAATTGTTAATACTTTAAACTGTACTAAAAGTACAAGGGGCCATATCTGTTTAAACTCTTATGGTTTTTTTAAGAATAAAAAAAATCTATGATCAGGGAGTTGTCCTAAGAAATAATGCCATAGCAAGCCCTGGACATTAAAATGGTAAACTGTCAAAGCAGCAAGGGTTTATACCACTAATGTTGACATAATTCTTCTATTTACCTTTTATTGGAGCAAGGGCCACAAACCACGGCTCCGCATTTCCTGCAGTGGTGCTGTAAAATAATTTAACTGTTAAAAATTAAACATACAATACAGGCTTAAGCTGGGGAATCGTATATGTGAAACTGTTTTCAAGCAAAAATTTATTCATCAAATATTTATTTATTCTTATGTTTAGTCTATTCAGTACGCATCGTCATAGTTTTCCGCGATTGCGACAAAATCTTGAATATATTCCATGGTCTTGTTGGATATACATTATATTTGTCTTCCCTGGTCACAAAACTTCGGCCCCCACAATCATGGCGAAAGCGTGAATTTTTCAATCCCAATATCTTCTTCTACGATTGCTATGTAAGCTCGGCTCAGCCTATTTCAGTAAAATACCCTGGATTTTGGTAAAAATCCCACTATCTGATTTTTTTACTATCCAAACGTGGCACCATCCATAGATTAGTTGTTGATTAGTTGTTGAGAGATCTACTGTATACTTAATAGGAACTTACACCTTGGGGGACTAAAGTCCTCTGCACTCTCCCACTTATCAATTATCAATTATTTAAGATGGGGACGCCACTATGTGCGTATTTTAACCCAAATATGAGTGAAGGATGAGTGGCGCGATCTTATAGTCTTGTTAGGGACTAAGGCCGACATGTTCCTTAGACACAGCTGTTAATTAATAGCCCATACAGCTAATGGCAACTAAGGGACCTACAGTTAATCGTGGAATCCGAACAACATTTTTTCCTCGTAATTAACGAATTGGTCTAATTATTACGATAGTACCGGTACTGCGGATAGTCGTTGTACTCACTAGTGCGGACGTTAATCCACACCAGGGAGCATCGCATCCACAGTGCATCCCTATAATTATCCACAATTCTTAGGCAGGTTCATCCAAAATCAATTAACAAAACAATCAAATAATAATTTATTCAATTTATTTATAAATTCAAACAGCAATTAATAATTTGTTAAGACCAGTCATACCTGACAACAGCCACTTAAACCAAGGCTGGACTACAAAGTACCTATTGTACAGAGAAGCAGTCTCAAATTGTGCATCAAACAAAATATCAGTCCTCCTTCAAATTTTAGAACAAACAGTATAGATCATAAACGTTTGTAATGTCACTTGCTCGGAATCAAACATTATTTAACACTACTGAAATGGAAATGCTATTAGTATAGGGTTCGGGCCAGTTACATAAATTGTTTATGTTCAAATATTGGCGAGTCCTCCCCTTCTGGACGTAGTGATTGTCCAAAGCAATTTCTATTTTCTAATTTTGTTCAACTGAGCAAATCTGTGTCTTGGACTAAGTGTAGATAAAAGCAATTAGGTGGATGTAGTAATAATGTGATAACGATACAGGGTTAAGTTAGGTTAGGTTAGGTTTAAGTATCGATAGTGGGGCTAGGTTAGTTTGGATTCAAACATCCAAAATATGAGTGTAGGCCTACAGTTCACCGATTACAACTTCTTAACACAAATTTTAGAAGCTCTAATAACAGAAGATGAGGTTTTAAAAATGGCGTTTGCCCTTTTCGGATGAGCAAATATTAAGCTCATAACTTTTCTGGCAAGAACAGTTTGTGGAAAAATTAATAACACTCACCCTTCTATTGAGGACCGTAAACTGGTTTTTCTTGCAATGCATGCAGATCGGAGCCTCTGAATCTGGGACCCACACTGCTGCATGAACCTCCACAGCTTTCTTACCACCTATGAAACATACGTTTATGACTTAATGGTGAGCACTAAACAGGAAGTTAATTGAAAATTGACCTTGTTTAAAATTAAATCTTACAAAACGATTTCGTGTTGCATTACTAACAGTTGAGACGTAAATTCTCAATAACTTACTTTTCCTAAGAAGATCTTCAATGCACTTGTTAATGTGAGCCATCCACTCTTGTTTTTCAGTAGACGTCGCAGCATAAACAGCAAATGACTTGGAAGCCGTCCTAATCAACCAGCCGTTTCTCAACTCTGAAAAAGGTTAATTATCAGTTAAACATTCAAATTGATAAAGCAGAAAAAGGGAAAAGACAAACATTATTGAAACCCCTTTTGACTTTGAAATGCTGTTATATAGAGCACAAGAAAACAATTAATTATTAATTTTCACTTAATTTCCATCTCTATGCGAGTAAGTTAGCCTACATAAAAAAAACAAGCTTCTTGGGGGCTCCGCTCCAGTAGCTCTGGAATTTTCCATGTTTACCTTAAATATATGTATTTGTATTTGAAAAGAATCCAAGAATATTGACAGCTGTTTCAAAGAAACCAACAAAGTTGGGTTCTATGATGTTAAATAGATTGAAAAGTAACAAGGTTCAACAACATAATGCTGCAATGATAAAGCATGAGTACAGCACAGGTAAGGCATAAATCTGACATTTTTAAGGTAATATTTTATTAAAAAGCAAATCAACCGAATGTAAAATCACTCAGTCTGCAGGTTTGCTGGGTAGGGGTGTAAAACAATGATATGGATTTTCATGTGCGTTTATGAGGAACGAATATATAATTTTTAAAGATGTTTGATAATGAATAAATCCAAGGAATTCAGCAGGTTAGAAGAAAAATCTTAAATAAAAAAGTAAGAATTTTGAATACCAACAATACTAGTAGTTGTAAAAAGCTAAAACATAAATTTACAGTTCAAGCTGCTAGCACTTCTAGCTTGTGAGCTTTTTATCATTGATATAAACTGCTGTTAAGCAGCGGATTAGGTTCAGCCCACATTAAATGATTCCCTGATAACAAGGATTTACTGTACATTTTCATTAAATTTTATGAATCATCATACAAAATTATGTATAATTAAGTACGGTATAGTTAAGTATAATAAGTTAATCCCTGTAAATGTTATTTAAAACATTTCCCTAACAATAAATAAAATATTTTAGATCAACTTACGCCCGTCATCTTCTAATGACTCTAACTTGACTTCTTCTAGAGGGATTATGTGTTGCTTATTGTACTGAAACAAAAACCAATCATCGTAAATTAGACACAAAACATAATATTGGGTTAGGATGACTTTTCATGCAGTTACTTAACAACAAAAATGTCTTATTACAAAAACAAGGTCCACAAAACGAACATTAAAAGTAAATCATTACGTGTAGATAGCACACACCATGTTCAACACCTAGAGTCATGACTGAACAACAAAACATGCTAATCTGGGAGTGACAGTTCTGAGTTCATTAAACAAGACATGAAGTTTATTTATTTTAGTCACTTCCATCTTAGTAGGGTTCATAATTAGCCTACATCTTTCTTCGCCACATAGACTGGACATTTTCTATTTATTCTAGGATTTCTTAGACAATTTGATTAAGGTCCAAAACTATAATTAACAATTACGGTATATTTTTAGGTAGTTGGGTTGAAACGTTAAATGTTTCTAACCAGTCATATTGCCGGCAGTGTTTCCATACACGGGATTATTATATATTATATATATAGGCCTACAGTACCTATTTAATTTTTTTTTACTTCCAAGGCTAATTTTAGAGAAAACAAACTCCAATTGATTAAACTACTGTAGCAAAATTTAAACACAACATAACGCCAAATAAAACACTCTGGATTGAAAAAAAATTATGCGTAATAAAACAGGATTTTTCATCATTCAAAAGCCGGATTAGACGTGATTTCTCGACCAAGTAAGCAGAATTATTTTTTTGGTCGTGTGGATACACTGATTGACGGTATTTATTTACCTACAAACATTTTCCTGTGAAAAAATTAATGAGTTGATTTTAAACCGTTTTTTGTTATTGGCTGGGAATTTAAATTAAACCATAAATAAAGGATGGGAATCAATATTTGAGGAGAAAAGAACAATTTTGGAATCAGTCCACTATATCAGTTGCCACTAGTTTTAACAATTTTCTAAATTATTCTAAAAAAAATTTCAAATTTTGAAATTCCTTAACCCATTGATAACTCATAAGCGTAGCCTGTCAACAAATTTCGTGGGCAGATAACCGTATTGCTAATCCACTGGCCCTTAAGTGTAGGTACGTAGAATCTAACCCTATAAGCGCTAGAGTCGACATCAAGTGCTTACAGTGGCAAACAACCCGTTCAGCTGAGAGTGGCATAATCAGTTGGTTAACGTGTTGCACTAACAGTATTGAGCGTTTAGGTATATCTACATGTGTGGGTTCAAACCCCGTACTTGTGCAATCCATATTGAGCTTTGAGAGTGTGGCTTAGCGAGGGTCCACCTTAAATAAATGGTGTCCGGCTTGTGTGTAAAATGACGGCATTAGGCCTAGAGAATTTGATAAGAACTAAAAAAAAAACACTTGTTTTGCTTCTTTTTACATTTGCATAGAAGAACCAATTTGTCTTTTTTGGCTTTTATTTTGGTTGAAAATGGACACATTGTGTTGAGAGACATGTAAAAGGACATAGCCTAGCAAAAAAAATTATTAATAGAGAAATTAACAAAAAATCCTTTGTCAATGTGTTAAGCTACTACATGGTTGAATTCTTTTACCTTTTTCTTATTGATGACAATATTTCCGTAGACCAAAATATCGTTGAATAAGAAAAATTGGCGAGCTTTGGGTTTTTTCCGGCACATTTTTGTCAAGACTCCCTCTCCCACCAAGACTCGACCAGGAACTGCTAAGGGCTAAAAAGATAACGAATATATATTAGGTAGCCTAAGTTGCAGCTGAAAGCATAGCCTAAATTATGAACTAAAGTTGAATAGATTAACATTACTTGGTTTAAGAATCCGCTTGAATTATTTATCAGTCGTTGGGGTGTACATCAAAATCAAGAGCTTTAATGAGAAAGAAATTAAATGTACTTAGGTACTGCATTATTATAGAATAAAGGCAAAAGTAGGCTAAGTTAGGCAAGACTTGTCGCGGACATTAGAATAAAATATTTTGTCTTTTTACTTAAAAGGTAGGCCTACATAATATAAACTGTGATTCTAAAGTGATCAATTTCAGGTTCACTAAATAGGCCTAGGTAGGGGTACAAAAGTATTAAATTTAAAATTCAGTTCAAAATAAGCCTAGAAAAAGCTAAAATTAGAAAACAAATTTTCTAGACTAGGCCTTCTAACAATGTATTTTGGGATGGTGTTAAAAATTCACTCAAAAGTTCTAAAGCCTTACATTAACTTTTAAAATCTATTTTACCTGCCCAGAACTGCCATAACAGTTTTCCACCATAGCAATACGACGAGCGTTTGCCTCACTGTTAACTAGAAAGAAAAAAACATAGGCCTAGGTTAGAAAGTATAGGTAGTAATAGCTAATAGCTAAGATAAGTTACATCTAGGAGTAAATTGACAAACATAACTTAAGTTATAGCCTACTGTTAAATTAATAACTTATTTAATTCAAAAAAGTTAAAGGCAGGTGGCCCAAATTATTGGTTGTTCAGGAATGTCAAGTAGGAAATGTCCCATATATTACGGGTAAAGGACATTACTTAATCCTGGGATTTCCTTGACCTGGATCCTGTTTCCTTGATCCTGGGATCATGAACAATGACTCTAGTTTCCACAGGAATTATAAGTAGGGTAGGTCTAGTAAGATAAGTGTTAACACGTTCAGTGCGAGGGGCGGGAATTCTCCGCGGTACCGGCGCCACTGATGCGGGGCAGGAGATGTCGTCCTTCACCAATGCCAACAACTTTGCTTAAATGTGAGCTCAGCCATTGCCGGGGAACGTTGTAGGCCTACTTGTTGCCAGGTTGTAGCTTAGAATGCGAGCTTTATTTTGGTGTAGGTTGTAACTAAACATTCCCGTAAAATCCTGTCTGGCAATGCTTTTGTTCCGTTTTCAGGGATTTTCTCTATTCGAGCCACAAGTTATTACAGACTCTGGGTTATTGATCTAGGCAGTGCTGCTACCTTTGGGTGTTTCACTGAACTACGTCCACTTTCGGGGTAAAGGAGAACAATCACCATTGCTCTTTTGTGATTTGTCTTAACATACTGAGATACGGTAACTTAACTTATTTCTATGCCAATAGCGATCGGTGATTCAGTTACTTAGCGTGCCAGGGCTCTGCCCGGGCCTTGCCGCGGTTTAGGAGCGCCTGTGTAAAGGTTTTCAGCATTGAACGTGTTAAGGTCTAAAACATGTTTGAGTAAGTTACAGTACTTTAGACTAAGTTAAGTTACTGGCCTAAAAGTCATGAAAACGCAAGATATACCATGTATAGCCTATAAACTGGTACATTTGCGTGCACTTTAATAAACAAACAATATACTTAATCAATTATCTTCGGTACAGTAAGGGTTTCTTTTAATTAACACCTTAGATTACTGTTCCAATTCTGGCTGTGATAGTTCATGCTTGACCTAGCCTAACTCATTTAGAGCGTACAGAGAAGTCATAAAAACACACAGAAGACGACAGACACCGATGGTTTCATTAGAAATGAGAGATTAATTGAATGCAACAGTTTGATAATTAATTAAGATATTAAAATTAAATAAAAATAACAAAATAAATACTTACCTAGCCTGTCAACCATGATTGTCACTAAGTCTTAGTCACTTCACTTTTTCACTAGTTCACTTCACTTTAATTTTCTTCAGTCTGGTTGGTTGGTTTTGGTTCTGGTTAGTCACCACACAGTACATAGTTTTAGTTAGTATCCTGGCTGAAATGTACTACGCGATTCAGGTTTTATGATATAAAATAATAAATCTTTTAATGAATATGATAACTGTTTTTAAAACTCAATCCTTTAAAATATTTATGTCCAAAAACATAAATTTGTTCATCAATATTATTTTGATAGAATACCTTGATTACGAATTTTGTAAACAAATGGTATGTTATTTGGTAAACAGCTGACTACATTATGTCACCTGGATTTGTTTTTTTTGGTCCCTCCCAGTTTCACTTCAAGCCAACGAAGAAAAAATCTAAAATCGTCACATGATTGGAAAACTTACTTCATTCATTCTCCTGTCTGCCAGACTAGACTTATCTTTCATAGGATTTTTAAAGTTTGGTTAGCTTGTTTTTAAATCGTTATAATGAAGGTCTGTGGTCCTAAATTATCGCTGTGCGGTCTGATAATAAGTGTTTGGGGGATTATACAGTTGGTAAGCTATGCTACTTTTTAGTAAACACTTATCAAGCCATAGCTTGCATCTTTTGCCAAGGTGCTTTACCTAAGCCCAAGCATCTATTGTGATAAACTTAGCATAGTTGTTTATAGGCTACAACCAAAGCTTTGTGTAGTACTCTTCTAGCTAAATGTATAGTGGTAAGCTAGAATATTGGAGAGGTTTTGCCTTTCCTAGTCAATCCTTGTACCAAGGTCAGTAAGTTAAGCCTATAGTTTGTCACATGATCCAGGGCTATTGTTGAAACTGAAACTCGTCTTTTCAGCCTCACTTGTCAAATCTTACATTAAGTTATACTCCCTTTCTAATTTGTAGGACACTCTGTCACACCGCTAACACACATTCATATGACCCATTTTATGACACACACTTAGGACTCGCCGCTAAGTTACTCTTAAAGACCTAACACATTTGAGATTCCTTAGTTTACAAGATTCTTAACTCATAAGGCTTCACCACTTAAGTTAAGGGCCAAGAGGGATCCTACCTGTCTGTGGGTGGGAACTTAATCAAATTTAGAGAAGTAACCTAATTACTTATATAGGCTTACCTCCGTCAGTAGTCCAAAATTGTGTCTTTTTCAACTACTTAATGTTGTTCAAAGCTTACATGTTTCGTTGCACTGCAACATCGTCAGAGCTTTTTGTCAAAAACATCAAATGATTTACACATAAAACAAAACACGGGACACGAAACATTTAAACACGCCATTAACATACATTTAAACATTTATTTAACATTTACACAGTTAATGTTATTTAACATTATTTTAACATTTATTTATTTATTTACATTTATTTTTAAACATTTAAAAATTAGGCCTACTTTCTTGGCTTCATACAGCTGGGTGCAGCCGTTTCATTCCCTATTACAAGTTACAACATTGTGTGGACATGGACATGGAGGCCATTAAATGAGTGTTATCCACATTTTTGGCTCTCATTTCCTTAATTTACTAGCCTACTTTATGATTACTGTCAGATAAAATAAAATCGCTAGATGCAGACGACGTTTAAACATTACCGGTGACAAAGAGATGCCATTGAATGCTTGCAAGTGATTGACAGGGAAATTTAGTTATTTAGTTTATCAATTTAGTTTCTTTATTATATAGATAGTGTTTCAACTTGGGTTTTAATGTAAACCAACACTAAACCTTAAAATAATGAGAAAGCTGGTCTATCAACCATTGCTTCAGCTGTTGATTCTGGTTAGATCAACCCTTGGTTAGATTACGAAGATTTTTCAAAGGTTTACTAAATTAAAGAGGAAATTACCTGATGAGATTTAAGATAGGATATGCCTAGACTAAATGATAACTGTAACGAAAAAAACCATATAACATGAAACTTACATTGAAAAAATAGCATAGTTTGCTCCTGCTAACTGCTCTTGTATAGGACTATTCCTAGGCTATGTTATGGTGTATATGCTAACTATGCAGACGAATACCAAGTTCCAAGTTCAGTTATTAGGAATATATCTGTTTAGTCCTTGCAAGAACAAGCCTACTATAGCCAACTTGTTACATAGAAAAGTAGGCCTACATGTTATTTTTTTACTTTACAAATTTCAACATGTTTAAATTAAAAGCCGATTTCAGGATAAGTTGCTGAATACTGGTTTCTGTACCAACTAGGTTGAAGCACAATTTGCTCTATGAATAATGACAGTAAATGACGATTTCTTTATATTGAAAAGTGTCATTCATAGAACAAGTAACCTATCACTATGATTTTAAATGTCGTTTTTAACATTAAAAGTAAAAAAAGGCAATGACTCTAATTTCAGTAGGCTAGGCTCTGTAACACAAAAAAGTATTTTTAAATAATCGTTTTACAGTTTTATTGGTCTTAATTGTTGATAGGTATAAGACATCTATAAATGAATCTATATTAAAGAAATAAAACGAGCTTTAAAAATATAGTTTTAATGGAATTTACATATAAGATGCTTAAAAATAATGCAATATTTAAAAATATGTACTAAATATGATGGGACACCTAACTAGTTGGTTCTGTTGTTGTAATGTTAGGTTTGTAATGCCAAAAAAGTAAATACAATCTAGGAATAATTTGTTTTCCAAGTAATGTTAGATAAAATAGGCTACTGACATTTTTGGTTTAAATGTTTGTTCAATAAAAATGTAGTTGCAATTAATTTTACATTTACCTAATGTGCGTGGAATAAAAAGTAACGTCTTTGGAAAAGTAGCTAAAATTGTAGCTGTAGCTACATTTCATTGTAGCTGTAGTTGTAGCTAGCTACTTTTTCCGAACTGTAGCTGTAGCTGTAGCTAAACTACTTTTTTGGAAATGTAGCAGTAGTTGTAGCTAGCTACATTTTAAAAGTAGCTTCCCCAACACTGGTTCCTTGTTGAATAGCCTCGTCTAGCTACCAAGGTTGACTTTCGTATCTGTTGGCACAAACAACCGAATGAAAATATCGATCGATACCACATCAAATAAAACAATCAAATAACCAATATTTTCATTCGGTTGTTTGTGCCAACAGATAGGCCTAACGGAAGTCTACCCATTAACCCATTAACCATTAACCTAAAATATTTTAAGCTCTTTTAAATAATAAGTGTTCTCAATCCCTGTTCTCATTGTGTAAGTAATTAGGCCTAGGCCTACCTATTTTTACCTCCTCCTCTTCGATCCCTATCAAAGAAATTTAAGTTACAGTAAACATAATGACTTTCAAAAACTAACAATTCTGAACCTCTGGCAGCTGTCATTTGAAAGTCTTCTTTATGATGGCCGCATCGTAAAGTTGCTTTTTGGTAACATATAGCCTAAGTTAGGGCCTTCTACTTGCTATAATTGTGGCCTAGGCATATGTAAAATGGCCCAACGCAAATCACTAACTTAATTGTATATTGACACTTAAATTAGCCTAAATAACTTAAAAGAATTTTTTTTTATAAAATAAGTTACCTTCTTGATTAGCATTGTATGTGTTATTGAATTACCTGTACAAGTATTTGTTTAATTAGTGGGCGAAGTGGCACTTTGCTGCACACGGGAGAAATTTTTAAACGCACGAGTCGTAGGCAAGTGTGTAAAGTTTCTCGAGTGCAGCGAAAGGCAGATTGCACTCGTATTACCGGTAAACATTATATTTTTCCTCCATAAATCATGTTGCCTAGGTAGGTATGCTAAATAATTAGTCTTTCAAACACTTTACAACAGGTTTTTGGTTAGGTTAAATACAAACATTGAACGAAATGGGAAACGCTGCACCAGCTGATTGATGTCGTAATATCTTTAAGTGTTGCCAACTTATTTTTAGGCGTACGCTGATTACGTGCATAATAAAAGCACGGTGTTTTGTGTTGTTTGGTTGGAATACTGGTGTGCGCCAAAGTAAGGCGTTCTGTACTATAATCTGTGCAAGGAAGCCCACTTTGTCGGGTGACTGTAGGAAAATAATATTTTATAGGTAGCCTACATCATTCACCTAAGTTACCGTTATTTTACCAATCGCAGGAGACGATTACAGTGTCTACATGTACAGGGCCAGGGATGGAGCTGCTATCCCCGGCCCTGTAAATGGCCGCGGGAGAGGAAAATGATGACTACACAGCTGCGAGGTATTTTTAGAAATTTACCTGCCTGCAAGTTGTGTTATTCGACGTATTTTTTGTACTTTCAGTCAAAATCGATAAAATTTGATTTGATTAGGCCTACCATTTTATAAGTTATTCTTTAACTTAAGTTTAATGTACCGTCCCCTGAAAAACTTTGTTAATTTTTTTTTAAATTGGTGTTGCTCAACTATTAGGCTAAACAATGTTTATTTGTTTGGTTGGTGATTATGTATAATGCATAATGACATGCCTATATGATGTGTATTTTGCCTGCAGTCTGTAAACATTGACCCAAATTGTACATTCCTCGTTTCTAGGTTACAACCCTACTTAACTTAATAAGTCTGTAAGTTAGACATTGTACCTACCTACCTGTTTTGACCTACAGACATTTTTTGCTATTTTAGTGTGATTTGAGATTGGTTTACGTACATTGGTTTTCATAAAGGTGATGGGGTTAAATTATTTCAAACTAGTTGGAAAGTGGAATATTTTGTTTTATATGAAATCGTTATTTAGGGCTAATAAAATTTATTTTAATATCGTTCCCAAAACATATCAAATAAGAGATCTTGAATTAATCAATTAATTAATCAATAAATTCTGGTTATGGCAAAAAATAAAAATAAAGAAGTCTAGATAGGCCTACTAATCTTTAATGAAAAGCTTAAGTTTAGGCTAGCCTACATAAACTTAGGCTACCAAACTTAAAATGTACTGAAGTACTGTAATGCCTTCACAAGGGTCGTGAGGACAATCGATGCGACCCACTTCATAATAATAAACATGATGTTTCAATGTTTCCAATGTTGATACGCACGATTATATCCAGCCTACTGCACGGTGAGTGTTAAATTAAGTCTTATAAGTTATCTTAAAGCCACGTTTACTCAATGCCAGTAGAGCCTCGGGCAGTTGGCAGGCAGGTTATTTGCCTCTGTATTTCAAGATATCAGAGGCAAGTAACCTGCCGGTCAACTGGCTTCTTGTAAACGCGGCCTTAGCTCTGGTTCTGTCCTGACTATAAGCAGTTTAGAGTTTTTACAAGTTTGTTTGTCTCTAGGTGTTCATGGGCATCTTCTACCAAGTGAAAAGTGTTGCTTTGGCTGAGGATTTACCCCACATACACGAAGCTACGTTTGCTACCGTTGAAGAATTTTACACAGAGGCAGACAAAGGATACAGCTTGGTGGGTAAAAAATTCAGAGCTTGAGCCTTTTGCAAGTATACCCTATACCGTGATTTTAATAGTCGGTTCACAACATTTTAAAAGGGGAAGTTTCCTAGATTCCCCCACCACTTTTAGCAAATTTCCCATATAGGGAATAAGTTAAGCTATTACTGTAGTCTGGTAACAAGATCTGGAGCCAGGACCAATTTACTTTTTCGTTTTGAGGTCCCCAGAGGCCAAAAAATCCATCCGTTCAAATTCATATACATGTAGCCTATTATATATTAAGGCCAAACAGGACAAAATTTTCAAACTAGATACAAAGAACATATTCAAGCCATTAAATCAAACAACAGAACAACACAAAAATCTACATTTGCAGAACACATAATTTGTACAGACCATAGGCCTACATAAAAAAATATAACGAAAACATTACCATACTAGACATTATTAATGAAGGAAACAAAATGAACATAAAAGAACATTTCCACATATAAACGCTACAAAGAAGATACTTAGAGACAACATTTTAAATATAGTACATACCATTGGCTATTGGATACTTTTCAATAGTCAAAGGCGCACACACACAAACCACTAATCCTATATTTAATAAAATTATAAGTATTATAATACTCCCGCCTCCCGCCGCAGCAAACCTGCAGACTAAGCAAATTTCCATTTGCCTGATTTGATTTTCACTAAAATGTCTCCTTAAAAATATCACATTTATTCCCTATTTTAATAGAATTAGTTTAACGAGTACCTACTTAGGTTTGCTGCAACAGGGAGGGTAAAAGTGTTCTTTTTTATGTTAATAGTTAGTAAGAAATTCAAATTCATATATATTTCAAACTAGCTGTACCCGCGGGCTTTGCCCCGTTTATCTTGACAAGTGAGCTCGTTCGCATGGCTCAATCACGTCCTGGTTGAAGTTCGTTCGCTACGCTCACTCACCTTTAGGTTGGAGCTCGTTCGCTCCGCTCACTTGCCTTCAGGTTAGCTCGTTCGCTACGCTAACTCGCTTCCAGGTTGAAGTTCGTTCGCTACGCTCACTCACCTTTTGCAAATTGGCTGTAGTCATAAATTTAAAAAAATAGTGCTGCGCCCTGTTGGTAATCCTTGTAATTTTAATGCTATTGAACATCATAGAACAGAACCAACTTGTTTAATTGAAACAGCTGTTAAGAAATTCCTTTTAAATATGAAAAATCATAAGGTTAACATGGGAAACTCCAGAGCCACTGGGGCGGAGCCCGAAAGCCCGATCAGAATAAAAACTACTTAGTTTTCCTATTTAATGCCCAAAGAATCGGTGTACCGAATTTCAGCCTCCTAGGTAAATGGGAAGTGGGAGAATTAGTGATGAGTGTGTGAGTGAGTGAGTGAGTGAGTGAGTGAGTGAGTCAGTCAGTCAGTGAGGGCTTTGCCTTTTATATATTTAGATTCAAATTCAAATATATTTATTTAAGATATTACAAGCATGGCCTTGCCAAGTTTACAAAACTTGTCGGCGAGAACCAATAGATCGTTGGTTTTACAGATTTTTTTTATCTTTTCTTTAGTTTTGTTTTCTGAGTACAAAGAATTATGAAACTAGTTCTAAGGCAGTTTGTGGCAGGCACTTATTAAGTTAATAGCAAGAGTATTTTGGCAGCTAGACTTAATTCTAATACCCCCGCCGCAGCAGACCTGCAGACTTAGCGAATTTCCATTTGCCTGATTGGATTTAAACTAAAATGTCTCCTTAAAAATATCACATTTATTCCCAATTTAAACAGAATTAGTTTAATGAGTACTTAGGTTTGCTGCAACAGGGGGAGGGGGATAAAAAGTTTTTTTTTATGTAAAATATTAAAAGGTACTGTGGTTTAGTAAGAAATTAATGAATTTTCCAAATTTGATCAAAATATGTTCACAAACAAGCAAACAACAACAGTTGACTTATTCTTCATAAGAATAACATGGGAATTTTAAAATTACAATTTTTTGGAATTTTCTCCGTAACAATTAGGCGCATAATAACGCTTCAATATACTAAATTATTTGTTTTTTTAAGCTCTACAAAATGGTTTAAAAAGAAATTGTGAAATTTTGTGTTTTTAGGGTCAAAAATGGGAAAAACCTATTTTTACCCCATAAAACCCCCCATAAACCCCCGTTCCCATAGTCCGATCATGCTGGTTCGCGAACTCATTCAAGTTAATCCCGCCTTACACCTTCAAACCAAATTTGATCAAAATCGGACAAAAATTACTCAAGTTATCGTGCGGATGGACACATATATATATATATATATATCTCTATATATAGATGTATAAAAATTGGAACGAATGGTGTTTTTGGCCTCTGGGGACATCAAAATGAAAAAGTAAATCGGTCCCGGGCTTAGGTCTTACCATGAGACCTACGGTAATAGCTACTTCCCTATAGGGAAATTCGCTAAAAGCATTAAAAAGAAGTGTAACAATAAACAATAACAAATAAATAGTATGAGCATAAGCTCCTATAATCAACGGCATTCACCTAGATTGATGATTGCAATCTTTTGTTGTCTTTGGATTTGTGAGTTTATGTCATGTGGTGGTAGTAGGGTGAGTGAGTTGAGTGTCGAGAGAAAAGATATGCTTGAGTCGTGTTACCTGTTTGTTCGTTTGTTGGTTGAACATAACCTTACACTAAAAATGCACATTTGTTCATAAGCAGAAAAAATAAAATTTTTATTAGCTTAATAAATTAGAAATTAATTCCTTTTTACAAATTTTATCAAAATGTGTTCATAAACAAGCAAACTACAACAGTTAACTTATTCTCCATAAGGATAACATAGGAATAACCATGTTCCCATAGTCCGATCATTCTGGTCCGCGAACCCGTTTGAATAAATGTAGGTTTACACGTTTATACCAAATTTCATCAAAATCGGATCATTTTTGCTCGAGTTATCCTGCTAACGGACACATTTATGTATTTGAACGGATGATGTTTTTTTTTGCCTCTATGGACCTCAAAATGAAAAAGTAAACCGGTCCCGGGTCCAGGTCTTATTATAAGTAGGCCTACTACGGTAATAGCCATATGGGAAATTCGCTAAAAAAACCAACGACAACTAAACATTCAACCACAAGCTAAAAAAAATATATATTTATTCATAACATAATATTTTTGTATGGAATTAGGTTAATACTTGTAGTTGTCATTATATTGTAATTTTATCAAATAAATACCCCCGCCACAGCAAACCTGCTGACTAATCAAATTTCCATTTGTCTGAATTGATTTTCAATTAAATTTAAATTTAAATAACATTACGTAGGTTTATCGAGTACCTAAGTTTGCTACTACAAGGTAATAAAGTGTGTTTTTTTGTAAATTAAAAAATATATAAAAATGCATCATGGTTGATTTGTAGCAAATGGATTGATGTTAAAATTAATAATTACAACTTACCTCAATCAATCCAGTAATATTTGTGGAGGACGCACGTTTCAACATTTAGGTCATCTTCTGCTCTGCTGTATAACCTTATTGATAGGTCACCTTTTTTGAGCACCCTGGATAAAGATTTTTGTTGAAGGGCCTGTACATACATAGCACTGTCACTGCTCTTAGCATTGCTGCCATGGCTACAATGTTTGCCACGACCATGTCTCATCATTATACTTTCTTTGCTATATATGATTCTCTACCTTGTTCCAGAACGCGTACAACTGCTGGATAGCTGCGTGTTTGTACGTGTTCACCCTCATCATCTCAGGCCATCAGTTCTACGTCAACAGCCGTTCATCCCTCAGCATGTAAAGAACACCCCGAGCTCTCAGAATGGTTAAGGTTTTGTCTTTAGCGGCTAGCGTTACCCATACCAGACTGTTGTGTATAGTTCAAAGTCTTTAAATTTGTCAAACGTTTTAAGTTCTAAGCACAATAAATTAAAATGGAATTTCAATTTAGAATGATTATTGTAATCCTAGTTAAATGTAAAATAAGTGTGAGTGAAATGTGTTAGCAGTATTTGAAAAAAGTGTATTTTATTTTACAGCATTAGTAATCAGATTAACTTATGATGTAACATTCCTTAAATTAAAGCAATATATGTTGGTGAAATGTGTCTTTAATTTATGTATTTCCTGATGAGGTTTCTAAATTTTGAATCTGCGTTCTCAATTGCCAATTTTTATGTTGAAGAAAGTTTGCATTTTTAACAATGTTTCAAAGTTGCTGTTTTCTAATATCGTTCATGGCTAGTACCACCACTTACATGTCCAAATTGATACATAACATAAACTTTACCAAACTTAAATAATCGGGTAAAGATGATTATTTTGGAAAGTAAATCTTGACAATTGGGCACCTTATGGGTTACATGTCTTGTCTATCATATTTAGCTGTAGTATAAAACAAATCTTCACATTCGCTACATAGCTTTTTAAAAAGCTCTGTAAATAGTTGAATCTGCCAGCGACTTTACACTTACTAATTTTGAGCAAAATATTGGATTGTATTCTAAGATGTGTCCTTGGCAAAAAAAAAAATATATATATATAAATATGTTAGTTTCTTCAGAGAGGTAAGCAGTAAGAAGAAAGTATAATTTGCATCCTATAGAAGCTTTTTATATGTGTGGTTTACATATAAATGCACTATTTGCATTTGCTCAGATTAATTACAGTTGAATTGATTTCATGTTTAAGAAAATACGTGTTGTTTTAATGGTAGTTAAAGTTATTATGAGATCTATTCAGAAAGTAAGGAACGTTTCCATCCGGATTGGGCTGATTCGGACGGAAGACTGGGACGAGTGGCGTCGTCCTGTAATCCAGCTACTGGGAGGTCACGAATTGTGGATATTTGTAGGGATGCACTGTGGATGCGATTGTCCCTGGTGTGGATTAACGTCCGCACTAGTGAGTACTACGACTATCCGCAGTATTATCCTGATAATTAGACCAATTCGTAAATTACAAGGAAAAATGTGGTTCGGATTCCACTATAAACTGTAGGTCCCTTAGTTGCCATTAGCTGTTTGGGCTATTAATTAACAGCTGTGTCTAAGGAACATGTCGGCCTTAGTCACTAACAAGACTACAAGATCGCGCCACTCATCCTACACTCATCCTTCACTCATATTTGGGTTAAAATACGCACATAGTGGCGTCCCCATCTTAAATAATTGAATTGAATTCCTCTACAGCGTGTATCATATCCAGAGGCACAACAACACATATCCAGTTAGTTCCAGCAGTCTCTAGTCTCCATATGTAGCACTCGTGAACCGCATCTTGGACCGGAGCTGTATAAAATAAAAACAAAATGCTTGAGTGCTTCTCTGTTCACAGTAGCCTACAAGCTGGTTACCTACCTGGTTTACAGAAACACTAGTGATGGGGAATTGAGAGAATACAGAATTGAATAGTAATCTAATTCAGCACGAGTATTCATATATTCCAATAGGCCTACTTAAAATTTGTAGGAATACTTTTGACCTAAAATGTAGGAGATTTCGCGTAGGCCCTATATCTTGGAGACAATCTCGGAGGGATCTCTGATGTATTCAATGTTTTCACCACAGAATGCCCTTTTAATTCTTACGAATCCGGAGCATCCGTGGAGTATTCAAAATGCTTTTGACTGCAGCATTTGTTTTTTACTAAACATTAACATTTTATTAAGAAGAACAGTTATCCTATTCTCTTATGCCAACTGTGTCTGTCTGTCTCTAATATATATATCAAAATCCAGCAGAGAAGGATTTTGAAAAAATGTTGGAGGAATTAGGGACTTAATACTAAAAACGTGATTGGGGACACCCATTACCTCAGGAAAATTTGTATTTCGCTACACAATTTATTTGAAAATTTATTATTGACCTTATGGGTTGCTAAACTTTGTTGGTTGAACAAAATAACAAGGACAAGATAAACAGAAGAATTACTGTCACTACTCACATGTGTTTATAACAAGCCATCCCAAGTAGGGTACACTAGCAAATTTCAAAACACAGTAAAAAGGGAAAAACATCAGTTGTAACTATTGAGTAAAAATTAAGATTTCACTGAAGATTTACTTGATATAGTGGAAAATAGTTTTGATCAATACTGATTATTTTACTTAGCCTTCTCCCACCAAAACTTAATCTCTGAAGTACTGAGGCATTCTAAGTAAACTAATTACATCTGGGGGTTTTAATTTATACATTATCCTAAACCCAAATAAAAAAGCTAAAAAAAACTGACAGAATCTCAATTTCCAGGGTAGGCCTACTGATAACTAAGCTATAATTTAAAGCTCTTAATGACTGTTTTAGATTATTAAGTAGAGGTACACCAAAAGATTCACTGCTATTCAGCCTATATATTGGCTATTTAAAATACTACTACTGAGGGAAAACTAATAGAAGTGATTATGATTATAATTAAAATGTTGAATTAATTAAAATAAATAGTGTGTGTTTGAATAATTATTTTAAAATGCAAGAAAAAGTCCTTAGTTACATGGCAAAATAACATACAATAATATTTGATGAAAAGTACTGTAGTAAAAAATAAATTAAAAAAAGAACAATTAATTTACTCTAAATATAAATTTCAAAATATATGTATTAATATGCAAGCATGTTTCTTGGAAACCTTTTTTCTCAGCTTGTGTGCATGCAGGGAAAATTTGTGCATACTTAGAAAGATATTTTCTTATAGGTGTGCAGAATCCCTTTATTATAAAATAAAATAGGCTAAGAACAAAGAATGAATTGAAAATAAATTAACTTGGGCCTTATGGGTTGCCACGAAATAAGAAATAACACCGAAATATAAACAGAAAACCAAAACAAAAATAAAGACATTTTCCTTGTTTGAGAAATTGAGAAATATAATGGAAGAATTTTGCTCTACAAAATAGGTTATTAATTTCTTAATCAAGGTCACAACAATAAGAAAGGTGTTTGAATACAAGTATTCGTCCGAATCCAGTTGTGTCTGCGAATTCACTGTATTCGATTCTTTATAGTGAACTACCAAAAGTCACACTAAAAGGAACACTAAAAGTCAAGGGGCGGTGGTCTCTGTCTCTAGTAGGAAGTCGGAAGTCGTGGAACAGTTTACCAACCAAGGAGTGCAACAGTTCCTCTAATTGCCGCTAGGTGTCACTGGGTTCGGCCTCAGCCCAGTTTGCCTAGTTGCCGCTAGGTGTCACTAAAACAGAATCATCAAAATCCATCGAAGTTTATCTATTATTTAATAATTATAAATGATTAAGGTACAACAAACAAATTAAGCTTAAGCCATTAAAACACTATTATTAATAAATGATAAACTAAAGTACATTTTTACGGGTTTAGGCTGAGGTTGTTTACTATGAATCGTCTGTATCCGTTGAGACTCGCAGAGATTGTTGAGTAGCTAGAACAAGACTACCCCGCTTATCCTTACTTCAGGTATCTTCATACTAATTTAATTATTAAGGTGACCCAGTACTCCCTATCCCGCCCATGTTAAAATGACAGTCTTTAGGTACACATAACTTTTACAAATATTAACCTATCAACTTAGAATTTTTGTACCAAGTTTAATACATTATTACCATCAATAATATGAAGCAAAAAAAGTTTTTGAGCAAAATTAAATAGTTAGTATGATTTTAAAAAATTTATAAAATATTTTGTAATTTTTTAACATCAAATATTTTTTTATTTCAAAGGTTTTTGGTTGTCATGGAAACGGATTCGTATTATTGTTCCTTATCATATGAGGAACACACACACCAGTTTTTATTGAAATTGGATTATAATTGAGGAAGAAAAGTGTACCTGACTAAAAACCACTTGACTTTCGGAAAACGACAAAAGTACCCCCTGGCACGGGTAGTAGTAGGACCCTTGGGCATGCTAAAGTAAGAGTGTATAAAAGTCGCTGTATAGCTTAAAATAATTTTTCTTCCATAATATTTGGTATGTACGTGTTCAGGAAAGTGTGTTCTACAAAAATAAGTAATAAAAAATGTTAAAAAAATAATATTTGACGGCGTACCCTCTGCGTCTTGATTAGTAGTAGGTCATTGGACATGCTAAATTAGGCTGCAACAGTTTATAAAAGTAGCTGACAATTTTAAAATTTTTTCTTCCTTAATTTTTATTATCTAAGTGTTCAGAAAAGTCTGTTCTACAAAACTAAATAATAAAAAAAAAATTAAAAAAAGTTTATATTTGAGTACTGTGTTACCTTAAACTAACTTTTTGACAAGCCGAGAGTCGTGTCTCTTACCTGAGGCCGACGATTGGCTTATAATCATACAACTTCAACACTCTCCAGTGTCTATTCCCACGAGACCTTACCGACAGACCGCCACCGCCCGCCACCGCGCCGTGCAGACGCATTATATACATACCGTGCATAGCCGAACAGTTCGTGGGAAATTGTTATCTCTATCACTGTCGCTGTCAAAACGTATCCTTTGTAGTTTAAATTTAAATTAATTTAACTGTCATAACCTAACCAAACGTGCTAATAATGAAAATATCGAATAAAGGATTACTAATAACAAAAATAGTTCTGTTCATAAAATAAAATTATAAATTTCTCAAAATCAATTATATATATTTTTTAATTATAAAATTAAACCATCATAACCTAACCAAACCAACTAAACTTGCTGATAATGAAAAAAATCTAGTCAAAATGTTAATGCCTCCGGTAGGTTTCGAACCGGCTACCTCCGAATTATTAGCCTCGAGCACTTTCCACTACACCACCGAGAACGATTGCTGTTTAATGTAACGATGCGGTAATGATGTTCGCTCGACCAGTGGTGGGTGGTGGTTGGTGGTGGCGTTCTGTCGGCAAGGGTTTCTGTCCATTCCGATGTTTTCCTTCTCGTAGTTCAATCCGCACGGGACTCCTTATAAGAAATCAAAAATGGCGTCTGAATTAATAGGAATGTGTTAATCACGTAATTACTGAACCGACTGGGACTAAAAGTTACTAAAAATATCAACCACCGGCCCCGTTAGCAATATAACTCAAATAAAAACATTACGATTTGTGCTTGGTACAAACGTGTAAACCCTGTTAATCGAACTATGCACGCACCAGCATACTAGGTAATAGCTACCTATTTACATTACAAGTGTAGTAAGAGCGTTTTTACATCACGCAGGTGAATGTTGTGCAACGAGTGGAAGCGAGTTGCATAATTCACCTAAGTGATATAAACACGCTCTTGCGTAACGTGTAACGTACAAAATTTTGCCTGACCCGAAAATATACAGCCAATATTTTCCATTTATTTCCCATAGTACAAAACACAGTATAACATTTTAATGATCAGTGTAAAAGTTACTCTGGTCCCTTTTTAGACAATTTAAGAATAGGTGAAATGATGACTTTAAAAAGATTATCACTCGTTAGTGATATATCTGATATTTTGTTTTTGTGTTTTGTTTATGTATTAGAAATCAGAGATATCTTCATGAAATTCGGCATACAATAATGAAGTGTCTAAGATATTTTAGAAAAAATGTTATTTAAATATGTTTAAGTTTTAAAATGGTGGCCATTATAGTTTTTACAACTTCAATTGTCGGTACTAAAATAGCTGATTAAAAAAAAATATCATGAATATTTCATTTTGCATATAAAACTTTCCATCACAGAACCCCAAGTTAAAAACTATTTATAGCTGAAAATCACGTTTTTTTTCTTTGCTGCAGCAAAAACAGGCGTTTTTTTTAGATGCGATGTGGGTCTAAAAGTAGCTCTTTTACTTGAGGCTGCTACAGACAGAAAGGCCTTATAAAAGCCTTTTTAGTTTCTAGGGAATAAATGTCTACTGTTGTAATCTTTGATTGTAAGCAATCGCATCTATCAAAATTAATATCGATTGATTTTTTTTTGTTTTAACTTATTCTTGAGTTCTTGCCAATAGTTGGACGAAGTTTGACATAACTTACCAATAGTATACACATTTACATTTACACGTTTGTACCAAGCACAAATCGTAATGTTTTTATTTGAGTTATCTTGCTAACGGGGCCGGTGGTTGATATTTTTAGTAACTTTTAGTCCCAGTCGGTTCAGTAATTATTACGTGATTAACACATTCCTATTAATTCAGACGCCATTTTTGATTTCTTATAAGGAGTCCCGTGCGGATTGAACTACGAGAAGGAAAACATCGGAATGGACAGAAACCCTTGCCGACAGAACGCCACCACCAACCACCACCCACCACTGGTCGAGCGAACATCATTACCGCATCGTTACATTAAACAGCCATCGTTATCGGTGGTGTAGTGGAAAGTGCCCGAGGCTAATAATTCGGAGGTAGCCGGTTCGAAACCTACCGGAGGCATTAACATTTTTACTAGATTTCTTTCATTATCAGCAAGTTTGGTTATCAGAAATATATGTTATGTATGTTAACATATTTATTACTTTGCACATAAGTTAATACATAAGAGACATTTGTAAGTAAAACCTTTGACTATTAATAAAACAACTTCTCTATCCAATAGTCAATGGTAAAACTATAAAAAGTAAATCATGTTTTCATTAATGTTGCTTAATGTATGAAACCACATGTCTACATAAAATACTTTTGTTTATTGTTGATTGTTTTGATTTTGAACACAAATGGATTTTATGTTTCTGTTCAATTCTGAAGTTAGTTATTTCTTACATAATCCCATCAAAGTTGTGTGAATATGTGGTATGGTGTGGTAGTGGTAGTGGTATAATATGGTATTGTGGTTACTGTTTCGGACTTCGAAATGCCTTCATATGCAGTCAAACCCGACCCCCAACGAACTACGGGGTACACTTCAATATCTGTTGGCACAAAACTGAACAAAAATATCGATTATTCAATATATCGTTTGGTTAGTTAGGTAAGGTTAACCTAACCTAACTAACCAAACAATACATCGAATTAAACAATCGAATAATCAATATTACTCATTTGGTTGTTTATGCCAACAGATATGGAAGTGTGCCCGAACTCCGACACCGTAACCACCATAAACCTACTTATCGCACAATTTCAAACGTAAACCTCGACTCGACACAGAAATTGCGTAGACATGTTTACGACGTGTAGTACCCGTAGTCGCCGTGCGATGTCGCGCAGATCATCCATGAATGAGCTGGGCAAGTTCGATCGGCTACAGCAGCGCTCCTGGCGGCAGGACTCGGCGACAACCCAGTATCAGCGTACCTGGGTGCAATGTCAGTTCGGGGTACCGCGGTCTGATAAGTGATAAGGGAGTGAAGTGATGGTGGCAGGTGGTGGAGTGTAAGTGATTCGTGAAGTGCAAGTGATCATGATCTGCAGGCTGGTGGTGTCGCTTCTAGTCGCCCTAGTGGCGTGCAACGACCTAGAAAAAACACAGTTTGAAGCTGCTTTCCAAGGTAATATACCTACATTACTGTAAGATACAATGCAGAGTAAGCTCAGATGTTTAAAATAAGCATACCACCGAAAAAGGTCGAGTTTGTTTTTGGTTCCAAACAGTCCAAACCTCCCGAACATTGTGGCGATCGATCAAGCCCTGGCGAACCAAGGTTATGATGTCTCAAAGATTCCGTTTTACCCAGTTTCCGTAGTATTTTACGATGTTATATCGAGTGGTTGCATGCTACATGCGCGCCACCCACCCTTAGGTTGTTCACCCTGGGTGTAGATCCGTCGCGTGGTCAGGGTAGATTAAATCGGTTTAAATCTAGGGAGAAATTAAAACTGTATGATTAAAGAAAAAATACTGAAATATTGCCTTGTAACTAGTGTTAGTTTTCATGACCAGGACATTATCGTACATGTATACAGTATTTATACATCAGATTAAAATATTGCGTTTGTATTTACCAGAAAAAAACACAGTTTGGATTTGGGATACATTTTACAAACCAAATTAAAGGCTTTGGGAGATACGAGAAGAAACTATTTTAAACACCAGTTTAACCTCTGCATGGAAATTAAACATTAGAATTTTGTTATAAAGGTAATTAAAAACATAAAACTATGTAGGAACATGTTTTTAACATTGTACAACAAAATATTTATATGCCTAAAAAAATTCAAATTGATCTAAATTTGTTGTTTAAACATAAATTGCAAGTTTAAAATAGTGAAAAGTAATGTCTGTTTAATTCAATAAAGATATAAGTGAAATAAAAGTATCGCAAAATTAATTTTAGAGGAATCAATTAAAGTGGTATGATTTACATGTTGGTATCGTTTTCCTATATTTTCTATCTGAATAGTAAAACCATTGAAGTTAATACATTAACTAATTAATATTAATCATTGCATACCTGAAATGAAGTAAAATAAATCAAAATACACCTTTTAATTTTATCGTGATTTGTACTGAGTTTTCGTAAAATGTTGGATTTGGATATAATTGAAATATGACTTGTTTTACATATAACAGTCAAAATCAGTGTGTTACATAGGTGAAATACATTTTTTCATAAAGGTACAATATGAAAAGTACCTACTTAAACATAAGGATTTTCGTTGTTCAGAAATTGATTGACTGATTAAAGTTTCATTAGTACCTATTTAACTTCTTATTAAGTAGATAATCCATAACACACTCTACGTAAAAAATATATGAAAAACCCTACAAAAATACGACAATACCCCCGCCGCAGCAAACCTGCAGACTAAGCGAATTTCCATTTGACTGATTGGATTTACACTGAAATGTCTACTTAAAAATATAACATTTATTCCCGATTTAAATAGAATTAGTTTAACAAGTACTTAGGTTTGCTGCATCAGGGAGGGTAAAATTGTTTTTTTTTTATGTTAATAGTTAGTAAGAAATAAAGACATTTTCCAAATTTGATCAAAATATGTTCATAAACAAGCAAACTACAACAGTTTACTTATTCTCCATAAGAATAACATGGGAATTTTAAATTTACAATTTTTTGGAATTTTATCCGTAACCGTTAGGCGCATAATAACGCTTCAATATACTAAATTATTTGTTTTTTTAAGCTCTACAAAATGGTTTGGAAATAAATTGCAAAATTTTAAGTTTTTTGGGTCAAAAATGGAAAAAACCTATTTTTACCCCATAAAACCCCCCGTAAACACCCGTTCCCATGGTCCGATCATGCTGGATCGCGATCTCGTTCGAATAAACGTAGGTTTACACGTTTGTACCAAATTTCATCAAAAACGGATCATTTTTGCTTGAGTTATCGTGCTGACGGACACATATATATATATATATATATAAATATATAAATATATATATATATATGAATTTGAACGGATGGTGTTTTTGGCCTCTAGGGACCTCAAAACGAAAAAAAAAATCGGTCCCGCGTCCAGGTCTTACCATGAGTACTACGGTAATAGCTTATTCCCTATATGGGAAATTCGCTAAAAACACGTCATACACTAAAAAAATTAAAAAGTCATAGGCCTGCCTAGTAGCCTATGTTTCTATATTATTATCATGTTACTATATAATGTGTAACATTTTCGACGGTTTAAGTAATATTTTTATAAATTGGAACATCTTCATTACATTTGTATTAAAGCTTTAAATTGCAATACTTTTTAAAGGACAGTAACTTATAGTGTGATAATGTTTAAGTTATACCACAGACTATGGTTATACGTAAATTTAGTTTTCCTACAGTCACCCGACAAAGTTGGCTTCCTTGTACTGTTTATAGGGGCGCAGGCCGAAAGCCACGAATGTTTATCTCTATAAGCTGGGGGGACGTAAGCCACGGCAATTAGCGAGGGTTTGAGTAGTTATAATCCTGGGGACGAAAGCCACGACGGCGGGCCAGGTAGTTGGGAGGGGCGAGGGAGAAACGGGAATCTCTCACATGAACATGACAATTATAATATACAGGGATGGACGCAAATATTTTGCTAAAGCTGTTTGCTGATGTCTCAATGAATTTTCAAATACAGTTGTAAGAGCTAAAAATTTTGAAGGAGCAGACAAATTAAACCCTAATAACATATTCCATATAATATTCCACATATATTCTAATAACTTATTGTAAATAAGTTGCTATTTAGAAAGTGAGTAAATCATTTCTTCTATTAAGATATTGTTTACAATACATTATACCATCGATATGTCCAGCTACTGTCAACAATGCAACATTAGGATAAACCTTTGCCTGATTAATTTACAACTGTTTGCAACAACTTTTTACTCCCTATGGAATAAAAATGTTACTTTGGACCCGCAACGCATGAGGTATAAATATGAATGTTTTGCTTTATTATGACGAAAACCCCTTATTGTATTGAGTATTATGGAAGATAATATGATTATTTAACGATAAAAGTTAAACTTAAAACTTAAGTTATACAAGGTTTTACGTCGGCACGGAAGTCCAATACATGTTTAGTTTTGCATGTTGTAATGTTAAATGCAATAAGTGATGTGGTATATCTTCTATCACTATTTTTTGTTAAACAATAACTGTGAATATTATTGATATTTAATTTTAAAAATCAAAACAATTACATTTATTTATAAGTATTAGGTAACTAAAAAACTTCGTCAATATTTTTGCGTGGTTGATTGTCACATCATACACAACAATTATGTTGCTACATTGCTTACTATGTATCTCTTGTAAGAAAGGGGATTAACCCCGTACCCACGGTGCTCATCTATGCAGACACTCTGTTCACATTACACTTAGTCGACCAGTTGGTGTGAACAGAGTTGAACAGTAGCATGAGCATCGATTTACAAATTCCTTTCCCAGCTGATGTGAGCTAGGCGATGCCGGTAGGGCTGACTTCCAAGAAACACCGTTAACCTATAAGCCACACACCCTATCGGTAATCAGCCAATGAGAAGGGCTAATGAAGAAGATGGAGGGGTCGAGACTCTTGGAGCGAGAGGATCTGAAGGAAAACATCGATGAGATCACCACGGGCCACCGGAGAAAGAAGATCGGGAGTTTGGGAGTGCGTGTATCGGTGCGTGTGCTTCTGGGACAATAGACAGTATGTAGAAAGAATAAAATATCTAACTAAAACTTTGTCAAACATAAAAGTCATGTAATTTGTCAGTAACTAATTCTTTTAAATTTTCAATTGATTTTCTTTTCTTGTAAATTTAACGTTGTAAATTAATTTATCTTATTATTGTTGTTTTTTGCATTTTCATAGTTTTCTTTTGCTGTTGTTACACTTTGTTACTTTTGTTGTTTTTCTAAATTTAAATTTTTGTTCATTACACGTTGAGTAACACCCTTAAGCAGTCTTATGTCTCATTAACCTAACACCTCTTGACTAAGCTAAGCGAGTGAATCATTTTAGGAAACTATACTAAAAAGTGAGGCATGGGACTCGCACTCTATAGCATAGTATTATACAAATGTGCACCACACTAATCATTTCTAAATATAAAAGCAGATTTGTTAAAATTCTGATCAGAAATAAAGTTAAGTTTTGGAAAATTACATTGTTAGTGAAGAAGGCAAATTCAGTAGCAGCCGTTCTTATGCATCTGCATACACGATGTGGTGAATGTGGTTAACATAGTTTAGGTTGAACTATAAATGTATGCATTACTTTTACGTTAAAGAAACAGTACTATATACCAGTGCATGTAATATTTTTACGGGGTAGGTAACATAATAGCGTAGGGTTGTTGACACCCGATTTCCGGCATGGAGGGAAGTATCTTGGAATTAGTCATTAGAATGCTGCGTCACCCTTACATTTCGGCATATTTAGGATTTCGCATCAGTTTGCGTGGACATTCAAAGCGTGAAGACCATGGAAGATTGTGCGGAGTTGGTTTTTAGTAATAAGGGCAAAAAGTCCTTGATGTTTAATAACTTTAAATTCAATTTGCAATCGGTGTTAGCGTGTGGAAGAAAGAAGTGGTTTTGCGAGAGAAAAAGGCGTGGCGGCTGTAAAGCGAAATTCTTCACCCAGAGTAAAATCTTATAATTATTTATCTTTATAATTATTAGCCCTGATGGTAAACTACCTTTATTTGACATAACTGTTATATTATATTATGAGGTACAGATGCCTGACATAATTTCAGTAGTTAGGCTAAAGCATATCAATTTTATGTTAAATCAATATAAACTGTTTTTGCTAGTCATACATCAACCGTCCTAAAATGGTGACGAATTTGTTCATTTCGAGTTATTTGTATGTTTTTACAAAGGGGGGGGGGGGTGTGGTGGGCAAATTATTAGCCTTAACTACTTTTTTAACATTATTTAATACATGTGTAAAACTTAAAACTTGTGTTAAACAAACGTTTGGCTTTGGTACTCGTTATGCGTTCTCTTGTTCTTAACAAGCATTTTAAATCTGTTTACCATACTAGTATTATGAGGTACAGATGCCTGACATAATTTCAGTAGTTAGGCTAAAGCATATCAATTTTATG